GTGCGCTGACGGTATTTCGTATGTATTTACATTTATTTGGACAAGTTGCAGCAGCGGTAGAGTTGTAAGAAACTTGAGTCATAGTGTCGCCGCACACGGGCCACACGCCACAGCCACAAATTCAGCCACGAGAAGCTAGAAGCGGCTGCTAAAAAAGTGGCTGAAGCGCGTGACAGCGGCCGACTAAGGTAAAGGAGAGAGGGGTGGGGAATCGCGCGAGTGACGTGTGGCGTCGTTTTGTATCGGCGCATTAAGTGGCCGGTAAGTCAAATAGCACGCGCTTTCGCGACTTCCTGTTACACACTTCCGTCCCATTTCACGAAATCACTCTCACAAATTGCAAGAAAGCGAGAGGAAAAATGTTGCACATCAAAAATTGTATCAATTAAATTGCATTAAACGCAAATAATCTAATAGAAAGTATTCACCTGAAGACGGACTCGGACAAGCAGCGGCTGGGCAGGCGGTAACCAAGAAGAAACGGGAGATTCTTGTCATTGAACTCAATCAGGCTTTGGAGCACATTTCCGAATGGGGTACCAGGAATTTGGTTGAGTTCAATGACAATAAAACTCAGGCTTGCGCTTTCACGGCAAAAACATCGCCATTCCTTCCCCTTCCCTCTCTTCAGGGCACAACACTGGCGCTACAGAGCAACATTACCATGCTCGGTATGGAAGTTCGCTCAGACCTGAATCCAAAGGACTAAATACATCGAAACCATGATCAAAACAGCTTCACGCAAACTCGGGAGTCCTGAACAAGGTGCGGCGTTTTTTCACGCCCGATCAACTGTGCTTGTTGTAGAAACCGCAAGTGCGGTCCTGCGTGGAATATTGCTCGCACCTCTAGGATGGCTCCGCCAAGTACTTGCTCGATGCTTTGGATAGGTTACAGCGGCGCGCGATCCGCATCATAGGCGATGAGGAGGTGACTAAACACCTCGAGCCTCTTCAATTACGCCGTGACGTGGCGTCACTAAGCGCGTTCTATCGTCTGTACCACGGCGAGTGTTCTGAGGAGTTATTCTCTCTTATCCCACCTTCCCCTTTCCTTCAGAGGACCACGCGCGCTGGCCTACGTTGTCACCGTCTAACTGTGGCCACAATTCCAACGCGTACAAAGAAATTTGGTGACTCATTTCTTTGTCGCACTATCCGTAAATGGAATGCTCTGCCCGCTCACGTGTTCCCTCCCTCTTACAACCTGGGATCCTTTAAAAGAGGCGTGAAGAAGCAACATGCATGCCGGTGAGGATGGCTGGTGTGGCAGGTAGAACTGCTGTATCAGCTATCTTCACGTCTGGACTTCACCTTCACTTAACATCAGGTGGGGTGGAGTCATTTGTCGGACTTATCTATAAAAAAGAAAGATTTGCTGAATCAAAACGCGACTTACGAGCGTATACGCTGAAAAATCACTGTTGCTCACGCTGTGTGGTTCAAAAACGTGATTTTTCTAACCAGATTGTCCACCAACCGATTATACAAACGATATTACAAACATGTGAATTGCTAATACTTTTAGAAAATGTTTTAATGTATATTGTTTTTTTTTACCATTAAAATAACTGAACAGATGTCTACTTGATTTCACTTTCAGTGTCAATTTCGAAGCTAAAAATATCTGCAAACTGCAAAGATCCTTAAGAAAATCATTAGTTAAAAGGATTTTGAAGGTTCAATAAAATAATAAACCCGCTGCTGTAGCGGAGCGCGACCCAAATCAAACGACTTGACCTTAAAACGACAATATTAAGTAAAATATTTAGGTACTTACAATTTAATAAGCCAAACATAATTCAATACCGGCCGATTATGGTCTTTACTAAGCATTGAATGGTATAAATTCGATACTACGACGAATCGATTCGAGTTACATTTATTCCATTATATGTTTTGTGTAATTGCCATGGTTAAATAGAAGTTTTATCTAACCCGTCAAGTTCGGTTTCAATATTCTTTTAACCATTCGTTTTTAATGGGTTCGTAACTATGGTTTAATTACCGGTTATCAAATTAATTGGTTTTGATTTTTGAATTATGTAATTGGTTAAGAATAAATTCTACTCAAAACGATAGATTTATCAGTAAATAATAATGAGCAAGACTATTTTTTCTATAGAAAATATCTTTTACTTCACAAATTATCAATCTGTGATTCATAAACTTCCAACTTAACATAAAATAAACATTTTAACATGTTATTATCTTTGGTAACAGATAAATCTCAATTAATTAAAATTTAATAAATTAAGTAAAATTTAAGTTATTTCTTATGATGACAGTGTAATTAAAGTTTCTTTTTTAATACTTAAATAAACCTTTTTTTTATTCTGCAAAAAGCTGATTTCAATTCAAAATCCTAACAAAGCTTAATATAATAATAGGAGAGATCATCATCATGTCAGCCATACGATGCCCACGGCTGAGCATAGATAAGCCTCCCCCAAGGATCTCTACACCGATCGGTCCTGCGCCACTCGAATCTATCACCTTCCCGCGACCTTCACAAGATCGTCGGTCCATCTTGTAGGGGCTGCCTACTGAGCGTCATACATAGAGGTATAAGAATAGAGTGGGGAAGTCGGCTCTAAAAGCGTCTAGTAGAAAGAGAAAGAAGATGAGAGACCGCTAGCTATCTCTCTCTCTTGTGACGCATGGCATCACATCGAAATAGTAAGATCCTTACGGTTGCCAATGCGCATGCGCGATTAGAGAGAGAAAGCTAGGGGTCTCAGCTTCTTTCTCTTTCTATTAGAGGGACACTTCCACTTGTGGTAGTCTATATCTCCCCTACTTTATTCTTATACCTCTGTGGCGTCGTCCGGTGCGTGATCTCTCAACGGCTATCGGTTCTCCTTGCTACGTGTCCCGCCCACTAATAGGATACTAACTTTTTTTCTAAATCGGTTTTTTTTAGATCTAAACACAAAACTACATTTGAACATTCTAACTACTCGTCAAATATTGGAACCAGGCTTCACTCAAATAAAACAAGAGGATAACTAAAACTAATTTATTATAAAAAAAAATATTAATATTTAAACGTTACAATAATAATTATGAAACATGCCATGCTTTTGAATCAACAAAAATTTAATAAATTAACCGTGTAAAAACATACCATTCATTTTCGTTTTATAGTACACACTAAATATTAAACTAATAGAAATCCTTAACAAAAACGGGTTCAATTAGGTACTTGCAAAGCAGGTAGGTATTACTGAAAATTGACACTGGTTACTTAAAAAGAATGCATAAAACAATTAATTTTGTTTTTTTTTCATGCATTTTCTCAAAATACAAATAATAAATATTACAAAGGGGAAATAAGTTACATATTTGTGAAAAAATAAACAAAAATCTCTGCCAACTAAAAAAGTTTAACATGTATTAGAGTCTGTGCGGAAAGAGAATGGGCGTGGCGAAAAACGGAACTAACATTAAGATTTTTATATGGCAATCCAACCCAGGCATCTGTCAAACGTCAAAGTTTTGTATTGATACGGATTTGTTTGTTGTTGTGATTTCTTGCGGTTTTTTTTGTATTTAATCATGTCTAAAAGGGGTAAAACCTTACAAATACGGTAGAAAAGCACTACAGCGCCCTTCAATCTAAATCCCATTCACTTTCCGCACAGACTCTACTTACATTGGAATTTACTTAAAAGACTTTTAAAGTCTTCAATGGAGTCGCTAAAATTGTGTTTATAAAAAAAATGGGTTATATTAGGATCACCATGCATTCTGGTTTTCTAGGATAAGTCCCATAATATCTCTTGATTTTAAAAAATGATTCTTCTATTCTTTAACTTAGTTTAAAATATTCCGCTGATGAAAAGAGGTAGATCCTTAGTTACCGAGGGGGTTTCGGAAAATTTTACTCCACCAGTAGTACCCTTAGCACGAACCATTATCGAATTCGAATAGTTTGCTAGTCCGAAATGTCATTGTCAAATTTTGTATGGAAACTTGAACAGCTGAGCCATAACGGACGTAACGAGAACTTTAAAAATCAGCAGCCAATATCGAATTCGTATCGTTTGCGAGTCCGAAGTGTCATTGTCAAATGTGTACTAGTTTTTAGTTCCCGTCACGTACTTTGTGGCGCTGCTGTTCAAGTTTCCATACAAATTTTGACATTGACATTTCGCACTCGTACTAAGGGTACTGATTTTATTGTTTTCGTTTCAATACAAATAAACAGTGTTTAAGTTCTATCATTAAATCATTTGCGTCTTCTTAAATTTTGAGTTTATTTGGTTACTTTTTACCAAAATGGACATAGAAACATAATTTACAATTACGAAAACTATGATAGTTTTCGTGAGCTCAAACTCGTATTTAGGGTACTGAGAGCTATCGGTTCCATACATTTAATACAGTGTCGACACATCGCGACACACAAGTATAGTTCTAACCATACAGGTTAGAGAGAAGGAGAACGATGCCACGTACTAAAGCATTAGCCCGCCTGTCCCTGAAAATTTGTAGAATTTATAGTTCATTTTTCAGCCACCAGCCGCGCTGCCGTCGGTAAGTAGTATCTGTGAAGTTAGCTGTTTATGAGAACAAGTAGATGAAGTTGGTTGAATAATAATAATAATATTAAATAAATAATAAATATTTCCAACACTTACACCAATTAACCTAGCCCCAAAGTAAGCACTGTAAGGCTTGTGTTATGGGATACTAGGGTAACGGATAGCATACATAATATACAGTACACATATAAGTTATATTATATAGAAATACATATGAAACATCCATGACTGGAGTACAAATGCTCGTATTCATCACACAAACATCTGCCCCCACCGGGACTCGAACCCGGGACCTCTCGAGTCGGCGACACCATGAAACCCGGTGAACAAACCACTCGACCACGGAGGTCGACAATAAAATTCGGTCGGAATAATGTACAAATTTTCGTCGCGGCAGCGCACAACAGCCCGCTTTTATTGAGACAACTTATCGATCGCAGCGCCTCACATATTTTGTCCATATTTCTGGGACACTATATTCTACAGCGATCGTTCTCCTTCTCTCTAACCGTACTAAATGTATGAAACCGATAGCTCTCTGATGCGTCACAACGAAACACGACACATAAGTATATTTCTGCCTTTAAATTGATCCATAGACTATAAAGACATGGGTGATTTGACGGATGAGTAGACCTTTCGTTTCAGTGTTGCCACCTGGCGCCCGACATACCAGAAAACCCTGATTGTAATGAATGATTTAAAGATCTAATGAACTTCTGCCTGAGCGTCCCTCGCGTACTGGCTGTTGTCGATTTCTTCTTCGTCTTCAAATTCTACCTCGTCGTCATCCACGGTGGCTTCCTGTAGATATAATAACAATAATAAATGTTTATTTCAGACACAATAAGTTCATCCATGTTAAAAATTTCAATATCAATTTCGGGAGTTGCGAAATAACATCTCAAAAATGTTATTAAAATGGTCGTATGACAGAGTACAGAATCTTTTAAGGATAATGAGTTGAATATACACATACACACGCAACACACAGTTACAGACACACACACATACAAAACACTCACAAACATACAAACATACGCACGTACTATCACCTATGTATCCATTATTTTTAGTTGTTTGTATTTTTAGGCCGTAAATGATATATTATTTATTATTTACTTCCCCCATAGGACGGGCTTCGTCTAGTATGGGTGACTGTTATAGCACTTTGTTTATGAGTAAATGGATTTTTTTTGTGCCATTCTTATCTTCAATCTAGATAGTTATATCACAACTCGTCAATTACTTAATTAAATAATCTTACAACATTATTGAATGATATAAATACATTCATTTACTCATAGACGTTTGCACCAAACATACTATGCTAAGCTGTTGTTGATAAGGTTGAAATTGGTTTGCACTAAATAAACTTTCTAAGCAAGAAAAATGAAATGCGTAACTTAGGAAATATATTCTCAAGAAAAACATAATAATATATTTCATTATTGAGTAAAGTTGCCTTTTTTCTAACAAAAACAAACATGTATTCGATTATGATTTTATTTATTTTTTAAGCATTTAACTGCTAGATGTTTAAATCTAAAGAAAAGTTTACTAGAAAAAATCCACGCGGACCAGGCAGCGGACGGGACGGGATGTATTCGATTATCGATTTATTCGTTGTTCTTACTTACATATTATGAGTATTCTAAGTCTTACCAAATGGTAAGAATTAGATTACCACTTGGTAGGTAAGGTAATCGTAGAAATTTACGTTGATGCAAACCTACTTTTACTCTACGTGGTTGTCTCTTTCTAGGAGTATCCTAAGTATATTATACAACAGGCGTTATTTTATTATATATTTTTCTTGTATTTACCTGATACTGTTGGTATTCTGAAATGAGGTCGCTCATGTTGCTAGCGGCTTCTGTGAACTCCATCTCATCCATACCTTCTCCGGTATACCAGTGAAGAAAAGCCTGAAAATGTATTTTATATAAAAAAGTGTACACGGACAACACAACTGAAGTAAAACTTCTTTTCTTCAATAACCTAATATTAGGCGATGCATAAGGCATAGGGGAATGGAAAATTCGGGCACCCGAAGCAATATTTACTCTGGAATACGGTGTCGGGTAAACAAAAGGAAATCTACCTGACAAAATAGGGTATTTGACAAGTTTTAGAAACGATCTCACGTTATTGACTAATGTTTATGGAGTCCGTTAAAAGTGGATATTCATCATTCTGTTGTGTATTTCAGTAAAAATAACCAAATCAAAAACTCCATTTTCAAGTTGCCGCGAAAACGTTTTTCTGGACAATATGGCGTCTTACTAGTGTGTGACGTCACACGACTGTTATTAAAACGTCAAACGATACAATGTAATGTCACTAACCGGAAGTTTACTTGCGTGTGACGTCATTTTAGGCTCCGCCAACCCCAAGCGTTTTGCGTCACGTGACAATAGATAAGAAAACTATTATCTTTTTCGTAACTAGGTTTTTAGTAAAATTATGAATATTTTTTTGTAAAATAGTAAAAACCCCTGCCAATATTCATTCTTAATACAGATGCTAACAATTGGTACTTTATTTGTTATACTGTCAAATACCCTATTCCGTTCATTTATATTTTTTTTATTTTTTTATTTTTATACTTAGTCGTTCACCCGAATTCCATTGGCACTCGTATTCGGGCTAACGACCAAGTCTAATCGCGTCATAATAATTCACTCATAACCCAACATTTTACATTGTAAGAGTAAGTCTAATAAGGTCTACGGGTATACATAAAAAAGCTCAAATCCCTAACCTCATCATCATCAGCCTATTAATGTCCCCACTGCTGGGGCACAGGCCTTCCCTATGGATGGAATAGGGAGATTGGGCCATGACGCGGGCCTAGTGCGGATTGGTGGGTGCTAACGACTGCAGATGCAGCCGGGACCAACGGCTTAACGTGCCTTCCGAGACACGGAGGAGCTCGAGATAGTAAATTTTTGGTCACCCATCCAATGACCGACCACTGCGAAAGTTGCTTAACTTCAACGACCGCAGCCGGACGCGCTAACCACTTGCGCCATCGAGCTCCTCATCTCATCCCTAACCTAGAAACTAGTAAAAAAAATATTATCAGGGTTAGTGATTCCTTGGTCGATATTTTACAAAACTCTAAGCGCGTTCTATCGTTTGTACCACGGCGAGTGTTCTGAGGAGTTATTCTCTCTTATCCCACCTTCCCCTTTCCTTCAGAGGACCACGCGCGGTAGCTTACGTTGTCACCGTCTAACTGTGGCCACAATACCAACGCGTACAAAGAAATTTGGTGACTCATTTCTTTGTCGCACTATCCGTAAATGGAATGCTCTGCCCGCTCACGTGTTCCCTCCCTCTTACAACCTGGGATCCTTTAAAAGAGGCGTGAAGAAGCAACATGCAGGCCGGCAGGGTGAGGATTTCTGGTGTGGCAGGTAGAACTGCTGTATCAGCTATCTTCACGTCTGGACTTCACCGTCACTTAACATCAGATGGGGCTAGGAATACCATCCATTCGGATTAGTCTGGACATGTCCGGATTTTTAGACTATAATCCGGAGTTTGCCCAGATATTTATTTTACCCGAATTTTTTAAATTATATTGAATATGAATATTAAAAGTACATATTGATTTAAATACCATACCATTATAACTAAGTGAGTAATGGTACCATTTTGTGACGAAAAATTCCGGACTTTTTTCGAAATGTCAGGACTTTTGGTATTCCTAAACGGTAACCCTAGGTAGGGCGGAGTCATTGGTCGGACCTATCTATAAAAAAAAACTGAATTTTAAAAACCGCCATAACAGTCATTTACGTAGAAAATGGCGCCCTCCCTAAACTGCCACTCGTATTCTTATATATCCTTGTCGCACTATAAGCCTCTTTGACTTCCTCATTAAACACTAGACAAAGATGTGAGGATGTGTTGAACAGGATTAAGATTAACTTTGCATTAAGAACTTTTGTGCAGGAAAGTTCGGCTGCGATTGTTGAAGTTAAGCAACTTTCGCAGTGGTCGGTCATTGGATGGGTGACCAAAAAATTTACTATCTCACGCTCCTCCATGCTTCGGAAGGCACGTTAAGCCGGTGGCCCCGGCTGCATCTGCAGTCGTTAGCACCCACCAATCCGCACTGGGCCCGCGTGGTGGGTCATGGCCCAAAACTCCCTATTCCATCCATAGGGAAGGCCTGTGTCCCAGCAGTGGGGACATTAATAGGCTGATGATGAAGATGATGATGTGCAGTACCCTTAGTACGAGTTTGAGCTCACGAAAACTATCATAGTTTTCGTAATTGTAAATTATGTTTCTATGTCCATTTTTGCGAAAAGTAACAAAATATACTTAAAATTTAAAAAGACGCAAATGATTTAATGATAGAATTTAAACACTGTTTATTTGTATTGAAACGAAAACAATAAAAATAGTATCCTTAGTACGAGTGCGAGCTCAAGAAAACTAACATAGTTTTTGTAATTGTAAAACTCGTACTAAAGGTACAGGAAAGTCTCAGTATGATTTACTCACCCGTCTACGGAACATAGCGGTGAACTGCTCCGAAATCCGCTTGAAGATCTCCTGTATGGCGGTGGAGTTGCCTATGAATGTAGCCGACATTTTGAGTCCACGCGGAGGCACATCGCACACCGCTACTTTGAGGTTGTGAGGAATCCATTCCACGAAATAACTGGTAATAAGAATAATAATCATTTATTTTCCTTTACAAATAGCCTTCTTAACAAAATGATCGATTGGAGTCTCCATTTAAGCAAATATTGCCTGTGTTTGGAGGCTCCGCACTTCCTTAACTAATAATGTGATTTACAAAATGCAGTATGGTTACAGTTAGAGATGGGCCGACTAACCGACTAGCCGACTAATCGGTTTTCGAATTGCCGACTATTCTGCAATGCCGATCATTCTAATACCTATCTTAGGAAGATCTTCGGAATATTTCGTCGAATACCATGATACAATACTATGAAAGTAACTAAAGTATACAGTTCTAGCAGTAGCTACATCAGTAAGTTGTCTTATTTTACTTATGGCATAGGCTGCTGAACTAAGTTTACCAGCTAGCAGAGAAATATGAGGATACCATTGCAATTTCGAGTCTATGGTTATACCTAAGAATATCGTTGACTCAACTAAATCTAGGTTTTCATTGTTTAATTTAATTCTAATGGTTTCGCTTCTAACATTAGGTAAAGTGAATTTAATGCATTTGGTTTTATTTGCATTTAATTTTAAGTTATTTACATTAAACCAGTGCAATACTTGTGAGAGAGCATTATTTACATCGTCAAAGTTATTCTTGTATCGGTCAACCTTAAATTATAAAGAAGTATCATCAGCAAACAATACGATCTCACACAATTTTTCCACAAAAAATGGCAAATCGTTTATGTACAATAAAAATAGAAACGGACCTAAAATCGATCCCTGGGGAACGCCCATTTTCACATAAGATCCAGATGACTTAACACCATTTACCTCTACAGTTTGAACTCTGGAACTGAGATACGATAGTAGCAAGTTTTGGGCTGCGCCTTTGATTCCATAGTGATTTAATTTTAACACCAGCGTCTGGTGCTCAACGCAGTCAAACGCCTTGGATAAGTCACAGAATACCCCAAGAACATTCTGCGACTTCTCCCAGGCTTCCATTATATGTCTAATAAGTGCAACACCCGCATCCGTTGTTGATCTACCCCTAGTAAAGCCAAATTGATTATTATGTAACAGTTTGTTCAAACTGACATGCGATAATAATTGATCTAAAATATTTTTTTCGAAAATTTTACTTAATACCGGTAATATTGATATAGGTCTGTAATTACCGGGATCATCTCTTATGCCGTTTTTGAAGAGAGGGATAACTTTACTATATTTCATAAGGTCTGGAAAATCACCTTGATCAATACACTTATTGAATATATCTGCAAGATAAGGAGCGATAACTGTTATTATACTTTTAGTAATTTTAATAGACATTCCAAACAAATCACACGTATTTTTCTTTTTAAGTGAGTTAAAGCATTTTATAATATCCATAAAATCCACATGTTTAAACGTAAACAGGTTATTACACCGAGGCACACACGTCTCTAGCAAACTCTTAGCACCCGCTGGCGTCGAATTCAAATTAGAAGTAGTAATCAATGGTATATTAACGAAATATTCATTAAAAGTATTGGCAATCTGTTCTTTTGTTTTAATTTGAATATTATCTACTTTAAGTGCGATCCCATCATCGAGGGTTCTTTCTTTACCAGTTTCTCTATTAATAACATTCCATGTCGTTTTAATTTTATTATTAGATTTTATGATTTTATTTTTTATGTAATTGGATTTGGCTGTTGCACATACACTTTTGAATGTTTTTGAGTACCTTTTAACATAATCAATGAAACCCTGAGAGTGATTGTACTTCCTTAAGTAGTACAAATCATAAAGTTTATTTCTGCTCCTATAAATACCAGACGTAGCCCAGTCACAGAAGTTCAACTTTTGACTTTTGAGTTAAATGACTAGGTACTCGGCTTGCTCACGCACGACACGAGTCTCCCAAAACGAGCCGAAATATTCATGTTCCACAATTTGCCTCTAAGGAAAACAAATTTTACCAATGGACTTCTTTAAGACTCGCGCTAGCACTTAAGATTTCACTCAATTAAAACGTACTTACTTCCCACTGCTATTTTGTTATGTGCGATATTCATTGTGTTATCTGAATTACTGACAGATTCCTAAGTTCCTAATTCTTATTATATAACCTTATTTTTTTAATATTTTAAGACTGTAGGTAACTTTAAATACATACTCTAGGTACTGTTTAAATATTCAAAAGAAACATTAGATTTGAGTTTTGTTTCATTGTTATGTGCCTATTATAATCGGCATGTTTTGCCGAATAGTCACCGACTAATCGCCGACTATAAACGATGCCGAATAGTCGTCTTTCCCGACTAGTCGGCGGCTAGTGGGCCCATCTCTAGTTACAGTCATGCTCAATGAACATGCAAAAAACAAAAAGGAAGAATGAGCTGAAATAAAACAAAACAATAAACAGACGACATGCGCTGGAACTAATCTTAGGATCATTAGATCCTCTTAGTAGGACTTAAATAAAGCTAAGCATAAGTATTTGCAATTAAGAAAGGTTATGCAGATGTTGTGGGCCATGTGTGCATGTGTGTTTGTGGCTTTGTGTGTGGATGTGTGTGGTTTGTGTGATGTGTGTGTGTGTGTGATGTTTGTGTGTGTGTGCGTGTGTGTAATTTTGTGATTGATGGGGGCAACCTACGATATTAAAAACCTTAGATTACCTTGATACAACATCACCAACAAAATCATCCGATTTCTTTTGGAAGTTTTTGAATTTTAGTTTCATTTCATTTCAAGTGTACCTATAAATTAATCAATACGTATGGAAGCCTAAATCGCGCAAGTAAAATTCGGTGGACAACACTCCATACATACGATGCCCAACCAACATCAGTCGGGCCGCGGCCCCCGAGCTACCATCACCCAGCTCCTAGGAAGATCTTCCCCTTTGGCCTTCCTATACTCTATTCACCTCTCTCAACTTAGAATTCTCATTTACTTACCTGCTATTCTAGTTCTACACACTCAGCACTTGATGGTCTACCTCCCTCAAGTGCACTTTGAATTCTAACCTATCACCTTTATTTTATTCTTTACTAGCGATCTCCCGCGACTTCGTACGCGTGGAGTTAGTTATTTGCACATACTATTTGACCCCAGGGGTCAAATAGTATGTGCAAATAAAGTAAGTATAAAATAAGGGGGTTTATTTCTAAAGATACATTATTAGTATACCTCTACACCATCTACAGAGCATACGTGTTAAATTTCAAGTCTCTTACTTCAGAAATATAGGACTTTCATACAAACTTCCAACCCCCGTATTACCCCCTTAGGGGTGGAGTTTCGTGATAATATGTAGCCTATATAATGCCCTGACTTCTTAATAATATTCGTGCCAAATTTGAAGTGAATCCATGCTGTACTTTTTAAGTTTATCCCGTACATACAAACAGACAAAAATTGTAAAAACTATATTTTGGGCTTCAGTATCGATTGTAGACCACACCCACAGAGATGTTCTTTTAAAAGAATATTCAATGTACAGTTTTGACTCTTCTACCATTTTATTATATGTATAGATTAAGCCATACACCTTAAAGGTTAAGTCGGCTAAACCTATCACCTTGAGCTCTTAACCTCTGTTATTTCCTCTCAATCTGTGATTCTAGTTTATGTACTAAAACCTTAGATAAAAACGAAAAGGGTAGATATGGCACTCGCGGCTCAAAAGTGATCCTCTTAAATTGTGGTGCATGACCATAATTCGCTTTAGTTACGATTGAACATTCAAACACGCTTCATGTTCACTCAATATAGCAATATTGCGTAAATTCTGTGTTATGAAGATAAAACAATGCCTTCGATGCTTTTATAAAGAACACAAATAGCTCAAAATCAAATAATAAATGCCTCGGCAACACTTTTCATTTGTTAAACTGTAAAAACATTTGTTTTTCTCAAAAATCACGGTTTGTCGTGAATGTTATTTACGTAATCGCCATTTTGTTATCAAGAAAAGGACAACAATACGTTGCGTTGAAGCGTATAGTTCTGTCTCGCTCGCTCGATTCCGTATCTTCCCTTTTTCTTTTAATCTATGACTAAAACTGTCTTTGCAGATGAGCTGTTCTTATTCTGCATGGTCTACCTGTCTCCTCACCTTGAGTTCCTGCACTCTCACCTGGTATTTCTGTCTCCTAACCTAGAATTCTTAACCTTTAATCTTTATTCTCTACCTATAATTTTAGTCTCCTCACCTGGAGTTCTTGAGGCGAGTTCTTGCCCCTAATGTTTTTCAGTCAGTCCACTATCCTGGAATTTGACTCTACTTATACTACAACAACGAGGAGCTCGATGGCGCAAGATGGCGCGTTCGGCTGCGATCGTTGAAGTTAAGCAACTTTCGCAATGGTCGGTTATTGGATGGGTTTACTATCTCGAGCTCCTCTGTGCTTCAGAAGGCACGTTAAGCCGTTGGTCCCGGCTGCATCTGCAGTCGTTAACACCCACCAATCAGCACTGGGCCCGCGTGGTGGGTCATGGCCGAATCTCCCTATTCCATCCATAGGGAAGGCCTATGCTCCAGCAGTGGGGACATAAATAGGCTGATGATGATGATACTACAACGGGTTTCAAGGTGTCGATCACTCCGAGGTCCCGGGTTCGAGTTAAAGTGCTTACTTCTGGACTATGCTAATTGGCGTGAGCATCTAAGTATAGATACATATAATAAAATGGTAGGAAAGTCAAAACTGTACATTGAATATTTTTTTTAAAAGAATACTTGCGGTGTGATCTACAATCGATACCGAAGCCAAAAATATAGTTTAAAGAATTTTTGTCTGTTTGTCTGTATGTATGTCCGGGATAAACTGAAAAAGTACTGCATTTGTTTACTTCAAATTTGGCACGAATATTATTAAGAAGTCGGGTCAACATATAGGCTACACATAATCACGCTATCACCTACGGGGAACGAGCATTGAACCTTTATTTGTAACTAACTCCACGCGTACGAAGTCGCGGGCGGTCGCTAGTGTGAAATATATATTTGTTCTTTTTTACTCACCTGCTGTTCTTGTTCTGCACATTGAGCACCTGATCGTCCACTTCCCTCATAGACATGTGTCCCCGGAACATGGTGGCCACGGTCAGGTATCTCCCGCGTCGAGGATCTGCTGCCGTCATCATGTTGCCCGGGTTAAACATCTGCAAGGAATTGAATAATCTGAGAGCTGGATGATGAATCTGAGAGGATGCATTATCTGAGAGTTATGGACCTTAAAAGGATGCGAAACGTCGAGTTATGTAAAGAAGTAATAAAAAAAGTGAATGTGCTTATGACCACACGACTGAAGTGAAACTTCTTTAGCTCCAATGATCTGAAAATCATAAACTTAACCTGAAGATATGTTAATAGAAAAAAAAACCACCAATCCGCGCTGGGTCCGTTATCCCCCACCATTCCGCGCTGTGTCCGTTATCACCCACCATTCCGCGCTGTGTCCGTTATCACCCACCAATCCGCGCTGGGTCCGTTATCACCCATCAATCCGCGCTGGGTCCGTTATCACCCACCAATCCACGCTGGGTCCGTTATCACACACCAATCCGCGCTGGGTCCGTTATCACCCACCAATCCGCGCTGAGTCCGTTATCACCCAACAATCCGCGCTGGGTCCGTTATCACCCACCAATCCGCGCTGGGTCCGTTATCACCCACCAATCCGCGCTGGGTCCGTTATCACCCAGCAATCCGCGCTGGGTCCGTTATCACCCACCAATCCGCGCTGGGTCCGTTATCACCCACCAATCCGCGCTGAGTCCGTTATCACCCAACAATCCGCTCTGGGTCCGTTATTACCCACCAATCCGCGCTGGGTCCGTTATCACCCACCAATCCGCGCTGGGTCCGTTATCACCCACCAATCCGCGCTGGGTACGTTATCACCCACCAATCCGCGCTGGGTCCGTTATCACCCAACAATCCGCGCTGGGTCCGTTATCACCCACCAATCCGCGCTGGGTCCTTTATCACCTACCAATCCGCGCTGGGTCCGTTATCACCCACCAATCCGCGCTGGGTCCGTTATCACCCACCAATCCGCGCTGGGTCCGTTATGAATTCAATTCAATTCAAATTGTTTATTACAGACAACAAAATGGTCCATCAAATCGTTAGTAACAATATTTAACTTAAATGCTACGAGTATGTTAGTATATATTATTTCTAGGATTCAATCGATGTGTGTTTTTTTTAAATACTGAAATTGTATTACATATTATTATACAATAATGTTATCACCCACCAATCCGTGCTTAAACGTTTGTATTATGAATATTTGATTGAATTAAGTAGATACAGACCTACATAATTTAATATGGCAAAGAGCAATAGTCGATATTGTGTTGTTTTTGGTTACTTGTACTCTTCAATAATTAATCTTTTTATGCGAATGCGTATTTACTATACTATAAAATTTAATAATATTTTTTTTCATACGTCTCCGTCGAGGCGTAAATATTTTTCTGTCTCAAATCTATATATTTTTTTTATTAAATATTACACTTAAAATAACATGTATTTTATGTAAACACTTTCTAATTCATTCTCAATATTTTTTTTACATATGAAATAAAATATTTACAATCACAAAACTAGAGAGAAACTCAATTATGTAGATGAAATTAAAATACAGTAGGCGGGCAGCCCTACCGCGTGGATACGCCCCGCTCGGCCGTAGGCAGTTATTTCAAGGACAGGGCCGAGTCACAATACTGTATAGATAATATTACCGTGCTTTGGGGCTAGGCTAATTGATGTGAGCGTTGGAAATATTTATTTATTATTATTTATTATTTTTATCTAGTACCTACACATACTACATTGTGCATAGTAGTTCGCTTTTACTTTTGTGGCTTTATTATTCAGCCAATAAATAAAATATAAGAATCAATCATGAATTAGTATAATAAGTTCACCACGATTTCACAAACATCTAGCATGACTGGACCGATTGACATTTGCCATAGTGATTAAGTTGACGATATAAGCTGTTATATGACCACACGGCTGAAGTGAAACTTCTTTAGCTCCATCTGTATGTGTATATATATACAACACATATGTGTGTGTGTACAATATATACATATATGTACATATTTCATTTACTAGCTATAAGAGAAAGACAGAAAGAAAATGTGCGCGCGCACTGCTCTCTCTTGCTTTCTATCCCCCAGTCAACTCCCGTCTAGTCCGCATACACTTTTCGTAACGCGTAACGCATTCGCCAGCTTACCCCCCAATTCAAGCGTGCGTAAAGTTTCACTTCAAATATGACGTTACTTATGATAGCGTGGCCAGCATCCTTACAAAATTATTCAATTTCTAAACACGATTTAAAATTTATCAGGGATGCATGCATGAAAATTTAATTAAAAGTATCTTTTAGTTCATGTTATAATACAAAACAAGCTTTCAAAAGATATGTTTCGTCGCTGCCGGAAACCGACTACCACTTTTGAAATATCCCTGCAATCTGGGGTCCTTTAAGAGAAGCGTGAAGAAGCATTTTTGCAGGCCAGCAAGGTGAGGATGGTTGGTGAAGCAGTTTATAACTGCTGTACCAGCTATCTTCGTTTTTGGACTCTATCACCACTTAACATCAGGTGGGGTAGAGTCATTTGCCCACTTGGTTATAAAAAAAACCATCTCCTTTAATTAAAAACAAATATATATACCTGACTCATTAGTTCCTGGACTGTTTGTGGCCTGTAGTTGAAGGAATTTTTAGCTGTGAGTGGAGCAAAACCTGTCAATGAAACAATACGTTAATTATAGTATTATAAGTTATTTACGGGATTGTTACCATGTACCTTGTTTTTAGCGAGTTTCCGATATTTCGGCACTGTTGCAAGCGCCTTTCGTATGTGTAAAACCGGAAATAATCAAAAAAGTGTCGTGTCGCGATCCGATACTGTAAGTGTCGTGAGTCGAGAACAGTTTCGAGTGAATAGTGAGAATGTGAACAGTGGTGCGGGTATCGAACGCAATAAAAGACTTCGTCGGAGGGTAGACCGATATGTCTGCCAATAACAGCCTACCCGCAATTACTTCAGTTACTCCGTGATCATGGCGCTTGCAACAGTGCCGAAATATCGGAAACTCGCTAAAACAAGGTACATGGTAACAATCCCGTAAATCTTTATATATATAATTCTTCTGTGAGTGTGTATGTCACTGAACTTCTCTTAAACGACTGGACCGATTTTGATGAAATTTTTTGTGTGTGTTCAAGGGGATCTGAGAATGGTTTAGATTCACAATTTTGTCCGCTGGACAATGTTTTTTTAATTAATTTTTAAATTATTAGTAGTTGTTGATTTTGGAATGTTTTACATTGGATCCGACAGACGGCGCTACCATCGCAGTGTCAAATTTTCAAATTAAAGACGTGTAGACAGGACAACGTCTGTCGGGTCCGCTAGTAACTTATATTACTATAATGTTAGGGAAGTTTAAAACAATATAAAACGTTAATTTTCAAGTGTGAAAACTTCTAAAGTAGTACATATTATGATCGGTGATAAGTGCTGTATTCTTAGCACGAACCAATATCGAATTCGTAACGTTTGCGAATCCGAAACGTCATTGTCAAATGTGTACTGATGCTTAATTCTCGTTACGTACTTTTGCCGCTGCTGTTTAAGTTTCCATACAAAATTTGACATTAACGTTTCGCATTCTCAAACTATTCGAATTCGATAATGGTTAGTACAGAACGGGGTGGCAGATTGTGCTAAGTATTTTTTTGCATCCAGCCTGACAATTTCGAGTTCGGGTCAGTTGAATAGATATGGGACTATTTTTTTACTAGCAACCGCCCGCGACTTCGTACGCGTGGAGTTAGTGACAAATAAAGATTCACTGCTCGTTCCCCGTAGGTGATAGCGTAATAATATGTAGCCTATATGTTGACCCGACTTCTTAATAATATTCATGCCAAATTTGAAGTAAATCCATGCTGTACTTTTTCAGTTTATCCCGGACATACATACAGTCAAACAGACAAAAATTCTAAAAACTATATGTTTGCCTTCGGTATCGATTGTAGATCACACCGCAAGAATTCTTTTAAAAAAATATTCAATGTACAGTTTTGATTTTCCTACCATTTATGTTTAGATTATATAAGGGAATTTGGGGGGTGAGGGGGGTTGACCATGTCTTATTTTTTCTTACAAGAGGCCCACCCTCTTTTTTTGGGAGTTTCGATAGTTCTTACGTAAGATCACAAAAATGAGCGAAGTTAAAATTATACTTTGAAAAGTTTGAAAAAGCGCGGGCAACCGGGGGAAGGGAGTCAAAAACTAGCAAAAATAGCATTGCGTAATAAACGAATGGCCTCTAATTATTTATTTATTTTTATTTAATATGTACCTGGCATGAAGAAGTGTAGCCGCGGGAATGGCACCATATTGACAGCTAATTTCCTCAGATCCGCGTTCAGTTGTCCCGGGAACCGAAGGCATGTGGTCACCCCAGACATCGTCATCTGAGAAAATTCACCAAGAATATCTATAATATAAAAATGAATCGCTGAATGTGTTGCTAAACGCAAATCTCGGGGTTGATTTCCTTTTGTTTACCCGACACCGTCTTCCAGTATAAATATTGCTTCGGGTGCCCGAATTCGAGTAATGTCTTTCATGCACCCCAATACGGACTAGCGACCAAATGTTATCGCGCCATTAGGGGCCGTTCAAGTATTACGTAAGCAGATTTATTACAACTAGCAAACCAGTGAACCAAATGTTCACCAAAAAAAAAAAAGTGCTACGTTACTCAAATCCGGTTTGTAGTCTTATCAGACTATTCTTAACTTATAACTTAAACATTCTCTTTATCTATCTCTTACGGTTTGGCCGTTGAAACAGCACCACGGACGGACGGACTTGTCTATTAGATAAGAGACTAGCAAACCAGTGAACCAAATGTTCACCAAAAAAAAAAAAAGAAAAAAAAAATTAATTAATTGAGAACTTCGGAGATTTTGTGTGGTTTCGTTTGAAATAGAAATCACGTGATTTCTCGAAAACCGGAAGTGCTATGTTACTCACATCCGGTTTGTAGTCTTATCAGACTATTCTCAACTTATAACTTAAACATTCTCTTTATCTATCTCTTACGGTTTGGCCGCTGAAACAGCACCACGGACGGACGGACGGGCTTGTCTAATAGATAAGAGATTATTTACCCCCTCCTCCCCCATGTCAGCAAAAATAAGCAAAGCTCTTACTCCACCCTCTCATGCTTACGTAAACATTGGTACCTATATGCATTTTTCCTTTAATGTATTCTGTTTTTTTTTTTTATTATTTCATGAGCTTTCATGAGCTTCATGAGCAGCAGTATTTAAATAGGCTTAGGATATATCACTTTAACGCACATAATGTTAATTTAAATAAATTTTATTGACACAGAATTCAACATAGAGAAAGGTACAAATATTATAATCTTACTAGCTGACCCAGCGAACTTCGTACCGCCATAAAAAATAGGGGTTGGTGGTAGAAAGTTGAAAATTTAGGGATGTATGTATTTTTGTATGATGTATCAAAAAAAAAATAAAAAAAAAATATCTAAAATTTTGAAAAAATGTTTAGGGGTGGATTACCCTTAACATTTAGGGGGATGAAAAATAGATGTTGTCCGATTCTCAGACCTACCCAATATGCACACAAAATTTCATGAAAATCGGGGAAGCCGTTTCGGAGGAGTTTAACCACAAACACCGCGACACGAGAATTTTATATATTAGATTAAGTACTACATATTACGAACTAAACACACAACGAATTTTTGGTATACATATTAATTCTAATTAACAGTCTTCAGTCCATGGCGAATCCATGATGCTGACGTAATGACTATCTCGACCCCCTCCCCCCCCCATGTCATCAAAAATAAGCAAAGCGAAGACCCCCCTGCCCCCCTATAGTGCTTACGTAATACTTGAACGGCCCCTTAGGGATGATGACAAACTTTTTTTCTTCGTTTTCCAGGTAGATTATCAAAAGTATAATGGACACGTAACTATTTTTTCTTTTTCTGCATATTCAAAACATTACAAATCCTGCATTGATTTCAAATGTCGCATGACGTCACGTCTTGGTACAATTTTTATGTAGAAGTGACGTCACGATCCCTGGAATGGATATCTGGCTTTATTTATTTGCTTAAAACATGGAATAAAAGAAAAAAAAATATTATTATAATGATTTTTAAAGTTCCACTGGCATCGTGACTTCATTAAACCATTCCATCTTTTTTGCCGACAAAAAGTTTGGCATAAACATAGTGTTAACATGTGTAATGTTGTGGGAACAAAATAAATATATATATATATGATCTGAAAATAATAATAATAATTTATCCCCTTACCCTGTCCTCTGGAAAAGGTTACCCTGAGGACCAGAAGACAGTGCTCTCCCCACTATTGTTACTTTAGAGCTACAATAATTTAAAACTACTAAATAAAAATTATATAAAAATAATGTTAAAAAAGTATCTAGGTATAGCATTAACCGGTGTGTGTGTGTGCGCGTGTGTGTGTGTGTGTTAGTGTGTATGTATATGTACCTGCGTGCGTGTTGTCTAGCGTATGTGCATTTGTTCTATCGCTTTTATTCTGTCAATGTAATATATTTAGTAATTGTTCTACTTTATTGTACTCTAGTCTATTTAGCCAATCTAGGATTATATTCTTTATAGTATAACTAGCTGACCCAGCGAACTTCGTACCGCCATAAAAAAAAAAAATTAAAAAAAACATTGTCCAGCGGACAAAATTGTGAATCTAAACAATTCTCAGATCCCCTTGAACACACACAAAAAATTTCATCAAAATCGGTCCAGTCGTTTAAGAGAAGTTCAGTGACATACACACTCACAGAAGAATTATATATATAAAGATTATTGACGTGTTTTATATTTTTGTTTGTCTTCAAAAGCTATTGTAAACTCGAGGAGTAATATTATATTTTTTTTTGTGCAAAAGCACTTTTCTCTGTTGGAACTGGTACTGTAAAGACTCGATAACGTCTTATAAATCGATGAACACCGGCACGTATGTAAAAGTGGGACGTCATGTCACGAGTCACCGTATGTGACGTCATGTCACGAGTCACCGTATGTGACGTCATGTCACGTTAGTTCAACGTTCCGCGGTGTGTGTGAGATCGAGGCTGACCCTCTCCCTCGAATAGTACCTCACCCCCGCGAATCCTAACTCGGGTTCCCATAGAGCTACAGAGGCGTGCTAGGGGTCAAAAGATCCCACAAAATTGCCCCGAAAAATTATCATCCGTAAACCGACTTTAAAAACAATCTATTTTTGGAGTTATACTTCTTTGGGAGCGTTATGAAAAAATGTTGAGAGTGCGATTTTAAGATGCGCGCGCATCACTGTAACACAAAAGTAACACCATGAAGTTGGCCGCTAAACCGCACATTAAGAAAAGCAACCAACAAAATAGAAACAGAATATCTATTGATCGCACATGTTGGCACGCTCGTCGCCTCTGATCACTGTTTTCATATGTATAATATTTATTTTATTTTTTATTTTAGGAAGGTTTACAGCTATCAGTCACCAATTAAATAAACAAAAAACAATATCTTCTAGCCAATTAAAAACCTCCACATATTAAATTTATCCACATGTTTCTAGTTTCTATATTCACAACACGTGTTTTAGTTTCATACAAGTGCGAAATATATATGAGCTAATCTCTTATCTATTAGACAAGTCCGTCCGTCTGTGGTGCTGTTTCAGCGGCCAAACCGTAAGAGATAGATAAAGAGAATATTTAAGTTATAAGTTAAGAATAGTCTGATAAGACTACAAACCGGATTTAAGTAACGTAGCACTTCCGGTTTTCGAGAAATCACGAATTTCAAACGAAACCACACAAAATCTCCGAAGTTCTCAATTAATTAAATACATTTTTTTTAAATCAGGTTTATGTAAACATTTGGTTCACTGGTTTGCTAGTAAATTATATTCAGTGGTGATTTGAATTAAATATTTTGATTATTTATTTAATTTTTCAAATCAAAACTGAAGTTTATTGACTGTGTTGACTATCCTCTTGCAGTCCTTTTATTATTTTATTGTAATTAATTATATTTGCATGCAATTAAAAACTATTTTTTAATGATGCCAAAGAAGTATAAATTCTCACACACGCACCCATTTTTTAATGTGTAACATCTTTCCTGCCTTTACCCACCATAGTTGATCTGTTTTGTACTACCTTTAATTGTGTATGTGTGAGTAATAAAGTGTTTATCTATCTATGTTTCCTCTCGCTTTCGTGCAATTTGTGCGAGTGATTTCGTGAAATGGGACGGAAGTGTGTAACAGGAAGTCGTGAAAGCGCGCGCTATTTGATTTGATTTTAGAAGATAATGTTCAAATGGCTTATTCCTTTTGTAGTAGGTTTTATTTCTTTTTTTACTAATATTAGGTGAAGTTTCAAATGTTACACATCATACGCGACTACTTTACGCGTTTATTTTTTACTAGTGGCCCGCCCTCGCTTTGCTTCGGTGTAGAGCTGTAGTGTAAACTATAGTTTCTGTTCTCAGGCTTGTGCTATAAACAATGACTTTATTTATATAATTACACGTGTTATTGTGAGTCAACCATAAAAGATAGACATATGCTGTTGGGAGATATTTTTTAGACAATTTTATGTAGAATATTTCCGTCATACATGATTTCTATGTAACTTTAACCATTAAGGCTGCACACGCGACGGAAGCTTAAAAAATGGAGTAACTTCTCCCGTTTTCCCAACATTTCCCTTCACTACTCTGCTGCTATTGATTGTAGCGTGATGAAAAGTATACTATAACCTGCCCAGGAGTATGAAGAATAATTGTACCAAGTTTCGTTAAAATCCGTCGAGTAGTTTTTGTTTCTATAAGGAACATACACACAGACAGACAGACAGACAGACAGACAAAAATTTTACTGATTGCATTTTTGGCATCAGTATCGATCACTAATCCCCCTGATAGTTATTTTGAAAATATATTTCATGTACAGAATTGACCTCTCTACAGATTTATTATAAGTATAGATGAGTAGGTATATTTTCTATTGTAATTTTTATAACATCTAAAAACAACTTACCGATATAAGATGGTTTAAGTCCCCGTAGCTCGGGCTGCTGAGCCTGAGCGTCCTGAAGCATATATTGTATAGGGCTTCGTTGTCGATACAGAAGGTCATATCCGTGTTCTCAACCAGCTGATGAACGGATAATGTGGCGTTGTACGGCTCGAGGACTACTTCGCTCACCTATGGAAAATACAGAAATGAGCGAGAATAATAATAATAATATTTAATTAGACCAGCATATAAGTATCATTACGTCTTATAAACTATAGACACCTATATCCCTCCCTCGCTCCTCAAGGTTTAATATTTTCGTGTAATCTTACTGCCGATCTAATCTTGGCCAAAATGCGCCTAAACAGAATGATCAAAGAACTGAATAGCATGAGCAAGAGCAAAGATTTGGACTTATTCAAGGGTGACATTCGCAACTTTAAAAATAAACTAATATGACATCTCCTTTTAATTAATTTTATTGTAATTTGATTTTAATTGTGTTATTATTTCTATAAATTAATTTTATCTGTAATTTATTGTGACTGATTATTTTTTTTATAATATATATAAGTTGACTTTATTCGATTACAACGCTTCTTATAATGCATTGATTTCAACCGGGACATTGTTGTTTTATGTATTTTTTTTTAATCTTAGAAAGATTTTAAAGGCTTTTTCATTGACAGTTTACCAGCATTTGTTGCTTCTATTCCATAACGCATGCGGTCTTCACCTATAATTGTAATGACATTAAGCTTAAGTATTTTATCATTACCTGCTAGATTGTTGTGTCAATGTTTATTATGTTGGTCATGAAATAAATAAATATATGAGCTTAAGAATATAAAAGACAATCTTTAGCGTCTGCTGCCGAACTAGGATTTTCATCCTGTATTTCAGCATACAGAGTGCCTCAATCCTCAGGTTTAGACAATTACATGTATCCTATAAGCTAGCGAAGTAAGTTTCTTGTGATACTGATATTACAATAAATACTTATTTGGATTTTATAAAACTGTTAAAATAAAAATTGTGTAAGTGAATGACCTCGATGGCGCAGGTGGTTAGTGCGTTCGTCTGCAAACGTTGAAGTTAAGCAACTTTCGCAGTGGTCGGTCATTGGATGGGTGACCAAAAATTTACTGTCTGAAGCTCCTCCGTGCTTCGGAAGGCACGTTAAGCCGTTGGTCCCGGCTGCATATGCAGTCGTTAACACCCACCAATCCGCACTGGGCCCGCGTGGTGGGTCATGGCCCAATCTCCCTATTCCATCCATAGGGAAGGCCTGTGCCCCAGCAGTGGGGACATTAATAGGCTGATGATGATGATGATGATGATGAATGACCTCTCTGTGTGTAATGTGCGAGTGAATGGATGTATGTGAGAGGATGTGTAAAAAAATAATGTAACGTCATTGCAAAAATAGAAATGAGGGAAACTTTAATTATTTTGATGATATTCTATGTTGCATTGCACACTTTTATTTAATCAACAGTACCCCTACCACTAGTTCGTGCTAGGGGTACTGTACCCCTAGCACGAACCATTATCGAATTCGAATAGTTTGCGAGTGCTTAATGTCAATGTCTAATTTTGTATGGAAACTTGAACAGCAACGCCACAAATTACGTACACATTTGATGATGACATTTCGGACTCGCAAACTATTCGAATTCGATATTGGTTCGTCCTGTACCCCTGTACAGGTTGTTAATTTTTTGGTATTTATTTTATTATTTTATTTTATAATTCATGTTCTTAGAAAAAAAAATTAAGTTATTCTGATTGTCTGAATTTTTGAAAATTTTTCTCTCTTTCTCTATCTCTCACGTTAAGTACACATTTGACAATGACATTTAGGATTCGCAAACTATTCGAATTCGATATTGGTTCGTGCTAAGGGTATGAACAACCTGTAGTTCATTTTTTGCTATTTATTTTATTTTATAATTCAAGTTCTTAGAAAAAATGTTTTTAAGTTATTCTGATTATCTCTTTATCTTTTTCTAATTTTGATGTGTTTCTGGTTAATAAAATATTCATCTCTCTATCCCCCCCCCCTCTCTCTATCTATCCCCCCCTCTCTCTCTACCCCCCCCCCCCCTATCTCTCTCTATCCCCCCCCCTCTCTCTCTATCCCCCCCTCTCTTTCTATCCCCCCCCTCTCTCTCTCTCTTTGATAGTAACCACTTGCCTTGGGCGAGGGTACAACGCTGAATGTGTTCATGATTCTGTCGGGGAACTCCTCTCTGATTTTGCTGAGCAAAAGGGTGCCCATGCCGGAGCCTGTCCCACCGCCCAGCGAGTGGGTCAATTGAAAACCTGCCACAAAATCATATATCACAGTTGTAGGAGGGCCAAAGAGGAAGATCTTCCTCCGAGCTGAGTGATGCTCAGGGGCCACGCACACTAGTCCGGATTTTGAAAAAAGTTGACATTGGAAATTTACGGATTTAAAAAAAACTATTCGATAGTTCTAATGAAACAGAACAATAAATGTTATATGCAACTTTTCATAGAAATGCGTCATTCATAATTATATAAAAAAAAATATTGGAAAAAAAGTATGGGAGATAAACCTTTTTATTTTTTTTTCTCGAGACTGTCATGACTCATGAGCTGTCAAAGTATAACCAATACAGTGATTTAGAACTACATTTTCTTAACACATATCAATTAAAATATTTTGCGGTCGCGCGCGGCTTTGCCTTTGAGGGGGATCCAAAATTCAAATATTTCATTATTATTTTTTCTCGATTTTTTTCTTGATTTTTTCAAAATCCGGACCAGTGTGCCGCGGCCCGACTGATATTGGTCGGGAATTGTATACAGGGTTAATTTTAAAACACCAACGACCTCTTAGGGGGTGATTCTACCTATCAACAAGAACAACTTTTATTATGGGACTAACTCTGAAATCGCGAAAAAAAAACAGCTGTTTCATACATTTCGGTCGATTAGCTGATGCACTTTTGTATGGAACAGCAGATTTTTTGTCGCGATTTCAGCGTTGGTCCCATAATAAAAGTTGTTCCTGTTGACAAGAGATTTTTGGTGTTTTAAAATAACCCTGTATACAGGGTGTTACAAAAATACAAATAAAGCTTGAAGGGCGTTGAAGTATATCATATAAGGAGTCTTCTCTAATTTTCTTAAAATATTTGCATGAAGTTTTAACTTTTTATAAAAACAGTTATTTTTAATGATTATAGAACTCCATTAAAATATTTTAAGAAAATTAGAGAAGACTCCTTATATGATGTTCTTCAACGCCTTTCAAGCTTGTATTTTTGTAACACCCTGTATTAAGTGTTTTGAGTTCTTTTTTCAGTAACATTAAGAGTACAAATAGGCTAGGATTTTTATATACACGGAAGTCGTCAGAAATTATTCTTACCTTGTAAACAGTCGCAGTTCTCCGCTTCTTTTCTTATCACATCAAGTACAGAGTCCACCAATTCAGCGCCTTCTGTATAATGTCCTTTAGCCCAATTGTTGCCTGTGGAAAAAATGAATTTTTTAACACATACTCGTACAACATCAAAATAGGTAGGGCAGGGAGATTTCCCCCCCTTGTAGTTCTGTCCTGCAAAGAGGGGGGCGGCGGAGGGAGCTACACGGGCACGCCCAAGTAGCCCTCCGCAGCGGACGGGGGGCGGTACGGTGGGCACTAGGCCGCGTACTCAACCCCCACGCGCGGGCCATCCTGCGCACGTCTGCGGGGTCCCCGCGATACCCCGGGAGACCCCTGCCGTGGAGCCCCGGCTAGGCCGGGAGGCTGCTAGGTGCGGAGACGCGGAGGAATCCCTAAACGGGGATCCCGCGGCTTCGCGCTAAGCAGCTTAGAGGGTATTCGCAGGAGGAGGGCAGGGAGATTTGGCGGGATTTCATCGAGTGCGGTTGGCGTCTTATTTTAATTATTCTTAAATTCGTTCATAGTGGATATTGTGAAATAGCATTATAGCGAGGTAGGCAAATGACTCTACCCCACCAGTACCCTTAGTACGAGTTTTACAATTACGAAACTATGATAGTTATCGTGAGCTCGCACTCGTACTAAGGGTACTGATTTTATTGTTTTCATTTCAATACAAATAAACAGTGCTTAAATTCTATCATTAAATCATTTGCGTCTTCTTAAATTTAAGTATATTTGGTTACTTTTCACCAAAATGGACATAGAAACATAATTTACAATTACGAAAACTATGTTTTTTTTTTATATTACTAGGTAGGCAAATGACTGTACCCCACCTGATGTTAAGTGGTGATAAAATCCAAACGCGAAGATAGCTGGTACAGCAGTTATAAACTGCTACACCAACCATCCTCACCTTGCCGGCCCGCAAAAATGCTTCTTCACGCCTCTCTTAAAGGACCCCAGATTATAGGAAGGAGGGAACACGTGCGCGGGTAAAGAATTCCACTTACGAATAGTACGACAAAGAAATGAGTCGCCAAATGATAGTTTTCGTGAGCTCAAACTCCTACTAAGGCTGCTGATGTTAAGTGGTGATAAAGTCCAAACGCGAAGATAGCTGGTACAGCAGTTATTAATTCATTTCCATCTACAACCCGTCCAAAAACACTTTCCCCTTAAAAAATTATGACGATTCTAATATTTGATTTATTTACCAGCACCACTCTGCCCAAACACGAAGTTGTCCGGTCTGAAGAGAGCACCGTACGGGCTCGCTCTAACCGCGTCCATCGTTCCAGGTTCCAAATCGACCAACACAGCTCTCGGGACGTATTTACCTGAAAATAGATAAACAAATAAATAAAATTACAACACTCGGGCCTTGGAGAACCCCCACCAGTGGCGTAGCTACCGCCGTATCAATGATACGTGGCCCGGGGGCCCACAACGGGCGTAAGCAAAAATTAATAAGAACTTCCCATTTTTTTTTTTTCAGAAAAGGCAAAAGTGAAAATAAGCAATTTATTTTTTCCCGCGTAAAGCGTGCGTTGGCAACACCCTGCAGCGGTTATCGCGGGCTGCGGGATTTCCCCGTCTAAGTCATTTATTTGAACGGGGGGTTCCCACAATAATCGATGTACATGCGATACGATAATAAACCACGGAGTCACTATTGTCCATAGAGGCAGATACTTTATAAAATCTAAAATCATTTTCAGCTATAAATGATTTAATAAATCAGTTTGCCGAAAAAAAGGGCAAGAAGGGTGTAAGTATATTTAATTTAATATTTTTGTAAAATTTTAACAAAATGTAATAAACATTTCTTTTATTTTTAGGCAAACATTTTTTTTTCTTTCAACATCGCAACAAAATCGCAACGAATGAACCGATTTCGATGATTTAAAAAGTATATTAATTAAAAAGCTTCTTAGATCCATTATACTCAGCAAATTAACTCAAAATCAAACGATTTTGAGTTAATTTGCTGACCTAGTAATGATCCTCATTTAATTGGTTCCGGACCCATAAAAGGCAGAGCCGCTCTGATCCTTCAAGCATTTCTTCGCCAAAGTTGCCAAGCAAACTTTTGTGAGCTCGCTACCGAGCTCTTTTCTAAAAGGCCTTGTCCCGGTACCGGCTGGCCCGGGACTCAAGCAAAGACCTCAAAGCCGTAAGGCACCCTTTGGCTTTTTCTAACACTATACGTTCTGACTCATCGGCGGTATCAACCCCTCTCCATCAGCTTCGGCTCGCCGTCAAGAAGCGTCTGCCGGCTACCAGCAGCTCCAGCTGTTCTACTTCGGCACGGACCGACACACCAGGGGGCCAATCGCCTAAATGGATTGCTTTGGAAAACGCTATCGCTTACGATTTCATTTTGTTATTTCTAGCCCCCTGAGGTTTTCAAATGCCTCGCGCTCTTTTTTTTTTCTTTTGCATTGGTAATAACAATGTTAAAGAAAATGAGCGTGAGGTATTTCGGCGGTTAGAAATAACAAAATGAAATCGTAAGCGATAGCGTTTTCCAAAGCAATCTGGTTAGGCGATTGGCCCACAGAAGTGCCGGCCAGTAACCAAGTGCTCCGCCCGACCAGAAGCGCTGACCGTCTCCCTACTCACGGCCAGGACCCTCAAGCCCGGATCCCAAGTCTACCTCTAAGAAGATCACCGACGACTATACCACACTACACACCACTGTACATCCCACACTTCATACATCTACACTCGCCCGTTCTCTATTCTTTTATTTTGATCTTGTAAATATATAGTACTAGAGGTCGCCCGCGACTTCGTCTGCGTTAACTTAGTTTCTTGAAAATCCCTCTGGAACCTATCATTTTTTCGGGATAAAAGTAGCCTATGTGCTAACTCCATACTAAATTTTATTAAAATCGCTCCAGCCGTTTAGACGTGAAGAAGTAACAAACATACACACTCACATACTCACAAACTTTCGCATTTATAATATTAGTGTGATATACTAGCTGTCCCAGCGAACTTCGTATCGCCATAAAAAAAATAGGGTTGGTGGTAGAAGGGTGAAAATTTAGGGTTGTATGTATCTTTGTATGATGTATCATAAAAACATAAAATCAAAAATAAAATTGTCACGTCTGTACGTGTTTAAAATTGTTTCGTTGCCTAATTTTCGGAACCTATTTCAGAACTGTTGTTTTAATTTAAAATGTCTTTAGATGAAAAATAGCAAAACATATGACTTTCACACTAGGGTGACCAACTATGACACAGACGTTGGAAGGGTAAAAAAATCACAAAATTAATGTGAACGTACCGTAAAACTGAGTAAATAGGGACGCGCGGGTGTAAATAGGGACGAAACCGAGAACATTGGTTAAAATTAAATCTTATGTTCGAGCAATAAAGTCTAAACTATTGTGTAGTTTTAAGATATACTAGTATTATTATCCTACTTAATAGCAACACTTAATCACCGTGAAGTTAGCTTAAAGTCATCAAAATATCAGTTTAAAGAGTGCAATCTACGAACGCTGTTTTTGTCTCAAAAATAAATTAGTACATTTGATTAGTGCCAAATTTTAAGTGAAATTTACTGTTTATCATCTATCCAAGAATACATAGGCATCAGTTAAGTAGGTACTTTATGGAAGAGACTAAAGTTGGAGCACGCGTAGCCTTCAATAATCCAAGCAGAGTTTGAACATGTGTAATACCCGCCATACACACTACGATAAATCGTTACGATTAGACTGTACAGTCCGAACGGTACCGATAAATCGTAGCGTGTATGTTATTAAATTGCACAGTTTCCTATACTAAACGAAATCGTATAAACTGTACCGTTCGAACTGTACAGTCTGATCGTAACGATTTCTCGTAGTGCGGGTATAACACAGACGCGACCTACATACAACTACAAGGTGTGGCGAGGATAATCTACTTGACTTATTTAATTAAATACCAAAATCGAAAATTACATTTTACAAGACTTTTATTTATTTCGACATGTTAAAATAGACAACAATAAATTCTAATCTACTAATCTTTTTATAAAATCTAATCGACCAGTGCTGCAGTCATAGACATAGTATTTATATCTATGGCTGCACTCGAAACAAGGTAGATCAAGTAGACATAGCGAATCTAATCATTCAAATCGTTCTGGCGATAAATACATATTTTTACATACATACAATACATGCCAAAAACTGTCAACTAAATTATACAATGAAATATTATGCCGCAATTACATTTGTTCGCTAGTCCGTATTCGGGAGCCCGAAAGACATTACTTGAATTCGGGCACACGAAGCAATATTTACACTGAAATACGGGTTGGAAAACGGTGTCGGGTAAACAAAAGGAAATCTACCCGTACTCGCCTCCGTTCATTTAAACTTAGTCGTTTACCCGAATTCCGTTGGCACTCGTATTCGGGCTAACGACCAAGTGTAACCGCGCCATTAGTCGTTTACCTGCAACTAGGGTTACCATCCGTCTGGATTTGTCCTGACATGTCCGAACTTTTTGCCTTTTGTCCGGATTTTTTTGATTAGATATAATATGAGTAAAACTACTTATTAAGTTATATCAAATCATCTCTATTAAGTTCCCATTAATTTAAAACAAAATATAAATCATATTAAAAAATCAACAACGCGATGCGAGCGTCTGCTACCATGCGTATAATAGCACTGTAACTAAGTGGGTAATCAGTGGCGGCGCTAGGTCGGCGACGTCGGCCACCGCCGACGGCCTCGCGCCTGAGGGGGCCTCGCAATTTTTTTTTACAAGTTACCTATTTATTTTCGTTTCTCCTGGCCTGGCTTAACCCCGAACAATTCGGGGAAAAAGCTAAGCAGATGATAATGACTTATATTATTTTCGAACACGTGCGTGATGGAAGCGAATAGTACTTTACAGGTATTCAGAATCGTCTGTCTGGCAACACTATTTTTGTAATTAAATTTCTGGGGTTTTTGGCGGGATTTCATCGAGTGCGGTTGGCGTCTTATTTTAATTATTCTTAAATTCGTTCATAGTGGATATTGTGAAATAAAATTGGTGTGGTTTTGTGTAACAACTGTCTGCGTAACTGAAGAATTAGTGGAATCATTAAAATATACGCTATTCCGGTCAAGTGGACGTGAGAATTTTACTGTAGTGTTGACTACCTCACAGAAGCTTATCGAAAAAGCCAACTCGATACATTTCGTGCCAAACACTCCAAGAAACATTAGAATGCGTCACACCGACATTCTAATGTAAAAACAAAAAGAAGATAAATTTAATTAAAGACCAGGCTGTATGGGCATTGTTCCCCTTGCCTTCCCTAAAACGGGAGAACTTCAACAAAAAAAAAATTAAATTTCTATGTTTGTAATTATTTTTTGTCATCATTTGATTATCAACAATGAAACTCGTTTACTCGTACAATAAAATAGGCCTCGCGAACTTGATGTTGCCGACGTCCACATTTGGTCTAGCGCCGCCGCTGTGGGTAATGTTTGCATTTTGTTACTAAAATGTCCGAACTTTTATCGAAATGCCCGGCTTATTGTCAGGACTTTTAAATTTTTTAATTTGTAGCCCTACCTGCAACCCATTGGCACTAGTATTCGGGCTTATGACCATTATGTAATCGCACACTGCCAAATCTTTGAATAACAATCCAATTGGGCATTTACACATATAGATAGACTAGCAAACCAGTGAACCAAATGTTCACCAAAACCTGATTTTAAAAAAAAAATGTTTTTAATTAATTGAGAACTTCGGAGATTTTGTGTGGTTTCGTTTGAAATTCGTGATTTCTCGAAAACCGGAAGTGCTACGTTACTCAAATCCGGTTTGTAGTCTTATCAGACTATTCTTAACTTATAACTTAAACATTCTCTTTATCTATCTCTTACGGTTTGGCCGCTGAAACAGCACCACAGACAGACGGACGGACGGACTTGTCTAATAGATAAGAGACTAGCAAACCTGCGAACCAAATGTTCACCAAAAAAAAAAAAAATATGTATTTAATTAATTGAGAACTACGGAGATTTTGTGTGGTTTCGTTTGAAATAGAAATCACGTGATTTCTCGAAAACCGGAAGTGCTACGTTACTCACATCCGGTTTGTAGTCTTATGAGACTATTCTTAACTTATAACTTAAACATTCTCTATATCTGTCTCTTACGGTTTGGCCGCTGAAACAGCACCACAGACAGACGGACGGACGGACTTGTCTAATAGATAAGAGATACTTGTACTTTGACAGAGGAGGAAACTGCATATGACTATTCCCCTCCTGGCTACGTTGTTGCTCAGTGATAGGTTAAGTGTACAATAGGAAAAAAAAATGTTCGTGCTAAAAGGAATCTTAAAACCTGGTACCATAGTATACCAAGTTTTTTTTTACACTCACACCAATTAGCCTAGCCCCAAAGTTAGCACTGTAAGCTTGTGTTATGGGATACTAGGGTAACGGTTAGAAATACCTATTCTGATACATCTTTATATATATAATTCTTCTGTGAGTGTGTATGTCACTGAACTTCTCTTAAACGACTGGACCGATTTTGATGAAATTTTTTGTGTGTGTTCAAGGGGATCTGAGAATGGTTTAGATTCACAATTTTGTCCGCTGGACAACCCCTATTTTTTTAGGGCGGTACGAAGTTCGCTGGGTCAGCTAGTATATAAGTATATTTTTAAAGAAATACATATTTAACATCCATGACCAGAGTACAAATGCTCGTATTCATCACGCAAATATCTGCCCCCACCGAGATTCGAACCCGGCACCTCTCGAGAAGGCGACACGTTGAAACCCTGCGTACTAACCACTCTGCCACGGGGGGCGTCTTTGATTATAATAATGTGATATTGTAGTATAAGACCTACTAATATTATCCACTAGCTGTGCCCCACGGTACTACCCACGGTTTATTAGAGATATTTTCCCGCAATAAAACGTAGCCTATGTGTTAATTAATCCAGGGTGTCAGCTAACTCCATACCAAAATTTTATTACAAACGCTCCAACCGTTTAGATGTGAAGAAGTAACAAACATACACACTCACAAACTTTCGCCTTTATAATATTAGTGTAATGTCATGTGATCAGACCCATCTTTCCCAGTGGGCACTTTGGGCCAGTGCCCAGGGCCCCGCGATTGATAGGGGGCCCCCTCAGATCAAATACAAAGTCCCTAGTTCCTGTTAAATCACCAAACGGAAGTCATTGGGGCCCCATTATCCTAATATGCCCAGGGCCTCCAATAGGTCAAAGACGGCACTGGATGTGATGTGGCTGAACGGACTGGCATGAAATTAGGCACAGAAGAAACCTACTCCTACTTCTTTATCTGGTGTTACGAACTGGTCGTGAGATATTTTAAAAATCAACTTTATATTGACTATTGTTTGTTGTTTGTCTTTGGTTTCCGGGTCTCCTTCGCCGGCCCTGTAAAAAGCTGGTGCTGCTTCCGGTCTGATGGCATTTTGTGGTGTCCCTCCACCTCCCTCAATCTGTTACTACAATACATACAAGAGCAGTACTTTGACTTCACAGACAAACGTCATTTACACGGCCGCTAACCAATCTTGGCAAGACAAATCCACGCAGCGCCACGTCTCTCGCCGCCGAATCTGGGGGCCATTCGCCTAACGGAAATGCTATGGAAAACGCTAACGCTTTCGATTTTATTTTGTTATTTCTGACTGCCGAAGGTTTTCAAATAACTCACGCTCATTTTTTTTAATATTGGTATTACCAATGCAAAAGAACAAAAAAGAGCGCGAGGCATTTGAAAACCTCAGGCGGCTAGAAATAAAAAAATGAAATCGTAAGCATTAGCGTTTTCCATAGCATTTCCGTTAGGCGAATGGCCCCCTGGTCGATGGCCGAGGTAGGTCAGCTGCGCCACGCCGCCGGCGCCGTCTGCCTTCGTTTCGATTCCGTAACGTGGCAATAGTAACTATACACATACAATAAAAATCGACACTAATCTATTTTACATTTTGTAGGGACCAACCCTTACCCTTAGTACGAGTTTTACAATTACAAAAACTATGATAGTTTTCGTGAGCTCGCACCGTACTAAAGGTACTGATTTTATAGTTTTCGTTTCAATACAAATAAACAGTGTTTAAATTCTATCATTAAATCATTTGCGTCTTCTTAAATATAAGTATTACTTACTTTTCACCAAAATGGACATAGAAACATAATTTACAATTACGAAAACTATGATAGTTTTCGTGAGCTCAAACTCGTACTAAGGGTACCTAGCGCTCCACTCAGTCGTAGGTATTTATTTCAAGAAAATGGCTGAGTTACGCTACTGCTCTTGTATGTATTGTGCCGTTACTGTTGAAAGAGAGGAGATGTTACGAACTGGCCAATAGGCCGTGAGAAATTTTATAGGACATTTTTGAAGTTATACTTCTTTAGGCGCGTTATAAAAAAATTATGAGGGTGAAATTTTAAGATGCGCGCGCATCTGTAACACAAAAAATTAACACCATGAAGTTGGTCGCTTTCGGGAAACACGTACAACAAACATCGGGAAAAGTTACGAGTTTTGAATTTAGAACAGAGACTGTTTTCATATCTATATATATAAAAATGAAACCCGTTTTCCGTTGTCACGACATAACATGAAAACGGCTTGACCGATTTGGCTTTTTTTTTTGTAGTTTTCTAATACTCTGTACAAGGTTCTTACGGAAAAAAATATAAAGAAAATCCCAAGGGGATAAAATAAGGAATGAAAGTTTGTATGAAACTTTATCAATTTTAAACCGATCGGGCTGAGACTTTGCATGCAGGTATAAGAAGAATCATAGATGAATGTCATTGTGTATAATACAAGCCTGAGAACAAAAACTGTAGTCTACACTTCAGCTCTACACCGAAGCGAAGCGAGGGCGGGCCGCTAGTTTATAATATTTATCCACATGTTTCTAGTTTGTATATTCGGAATACGTGTTTGAGTTTCATACAAGTGCAAATCACATATGTTCTAATAAATTATATTCAGTAGCGATTTTAATTGAATATTTTGATTATTTATTTATTTTTTCAAATTAAAACTGAACTTTATTGACTGTGTCCTTTTCCAGACTTTTTATTAATTTATTGTAATTAATTATTTGCATGCAATTAAAAACTAATTTTAAACGATGCCAAAGAAGGATAACTTCTCACGGGCCTACATAAGTACACGCACCCATTTTTTATATTGAGTTTTGGTTGGATTTAGTTTCCTTGACTTCTTTGCTGTTATCCTCGCTGTAAGGTTGCATTTTGGGTTTGTATCTATTCTTATTCTATTTATTATAATTTTTTCCTTTATTTTGAGCCCTTTCCTTTCTTCCTACTCCGTATTACTACCACATATATCTTACACCTGGATTGAAACATAGGATATATCATGTATCCCGAAAAAATGACAGATCCCGGGTGTGATTTTCAATAACTAAACACAACGTGGATGAAATATAGTTTCTTTAATACTTTTTCGTTTCTGTGCAAATAAAAACGGTTTTAACTTTTTTTTAATCTACTAACTGTACCCTTAGTACGAGTTTACAATCACGAAAACTATGATAGTTTTCGTGAGCTCGCACTCGTACTAAGGGTACTGATTTTATTGTTTTCGTTTCAATACAAATAAAAAGTGTTTAAATTCTATCATTAAATTAAATCATTTGCGTCTTCATAAATTTTAAGAATATTTGGTTACTTTTCACCAAAATGGACATAGAAACATAATTTACAATTACGAAAACTATGATAGTTTTCGTGAGCTCAAACTCGTACTAAGGGTACTGTACTGTTTTAATCTAGGTATTTACTTACCACTGGAAGCCTCATTGTAGTAAACGTCAATTCGTTCCTGTTGTAAAGGGTTCTCGCCTCTGTATACACCCTGCGGGTCCACCCCATGCTCGTCCGATATTACTTCCCAGAACTGTAGACAATTTTTTTTTACCTAAATAGCGCATACGGCCTGCGATCATGAAAATTAAGCAACTTTTGCAATGGTTAGTCATTGGATGGGCGGCCAAAAATTTATTATCTTGCTTGAGCTCCTCTGTCGTGCTTCGGTAAGCACTTTAAGCCGTTGGTCCCGGCTGCATCTGTCGACTGCAGATGCAGCCGGGACCAACGGCGGGTTAGCACCCACCAATCCGCGCTGGACTCGCGTTATGGGTCACGGCCCAGTCTCCCTATTCCATTCTTAGAGAAGGCCTGTGCCCCAGCAGTGGGGACATTGATAGGCTGATAATCTAATGAAACGCTAAATATTTAAAAATCAGCCCAAAAATACCTATCCAACGATGTGATACACACACATAGCTAACGGCGGAAGGTATGAACTAGATTTCGAACTGTTTAGTTCCATGATTTTATTTATTTTAAGCATTTAACTGCTCGATGTTTAAATCTTAAGAAAAGTTTACTAGAAAAAAAAAATCCACGCGGACCAGGCAGGGGACGGGACTCGAAACCGCACCCTTCGCAATCCGGGCGAATGCACTGACCATTATGCTACCACACGGCCCTATTCGCAGCGTTTTTTTTTTTCTAGTAAACTTTTCTTTTTGTTTAGTTCCATTTTCGAATTTAAGGTCGGTTTTATTTTTGATTAAAAAGGTATTTCATTTATTGTGAAAATTACATCCTATACAATAAACAAAAATGCTCATAAAATAAAGAGCACTTTTTACAAGGAACTACACGGCAAGTAGGTATCTATTGAACGAAAGAAGAATCACGAAAGAGAAAGGGCTTTGCTCACCCTAAAATTTGAGTGTTAGAAAATGTCAAATTAATTATATTTTTATTTTTTAAGCATTTAGTTACTAGCCGCTCGGTTAGCAGAGGGTGCTGGTTCGAGTCCCGTCTGCTGTGTGTAATTTGTCTAGTATGGATGACGTGACACAAATATTGGTGAGCGACAGAGAGTGCCGACGAACGACGCAAATGGTATGTTAAGGTGGGCTTTCTAAGTGAGTCTAATGACGCCGCGACAGAGCGTCAGATGGAATTTCTATGCAAATGACATTGTCTGTGCCGCTTTGACCGACGCTGACATTGACATTTGCATAGAAATTTTATCTGACACCTCTGTCGCGGCGTCGTTGACGCTCGCTATGAAAGCGCACCTTTAGGTGTACTTTTTTTTTTTTTTTTAAATAACTGTTTTTCACTAGATAATTGGTTATCACAAGGTTTAAACTGAATTGATAAGATGAAACTAGGTTTGGATATGAATGGTGTCGGGCGAGTGACCTGCGCTTCGGTGGTCCATGGTCTAGGGTGCCGACGCGCAGGTCAGTGACCCTCACCCAGTTAGGTCGCTCACCAGCAATACCGTGCTGGTGGTGGACCTGAGATAGAGAGAAATAGTAAAAAGAAAAGAGTGCCCTTCTTGCCGGAGAGAGGCAAGATGGGCCAAGAGAGGAAGGAAGATGAAGAAGTCGATCAGTGGATCAGAGGGGAAAAGAAAAAGAAAATTGAAGATATCAGGCCTAATGGCCATTACTGAATCGCGAGTAGTTCTCGACCGGTCGCTCCCCCGGGTCGGTCGCTCCTCCGGTCAAGGTACCCGGCCGGTCGCGCCACCGATCGAGCTTGGTCGCGCTACCGGTTGAGCCACCGGTCGAGGTGGGCCGCGCTACCGGCCAGGCGGCTCGACCGGCCGAGCAGTCCGGTTTAGATGTACGTTAGAACGCATTGCTGCGCCTAGTCACATGAGCTATACATATTTTCGGGGACTCCCGAGTACTATTGTCAATAATAGTCCGCGGACTAAAGTCTCTCATCTGCGTAGGCTATTATTATTATTAAACTACTCAGATCGAAATATCAGAAACAAATCTCAGTAACACCATCTATAACCTCCCAGACGAAACTATTTTTGAGTGTGAAAGTATGGCGGGTGTGTTTGGAAATAGTTACGCTAACCAACAAAAGATGGCACTACAAAAAAATTATTTGTAAAACACGTCCTATTTTCGGTACCCTTAGCACGAACTAATATCGAATTCGAATAGTTTGCGAGTCCGAAATCTCATTGTCAAATTTTGTATGCAAACTTGAACAGCAGCGCCATAACGCACATAACGAGAACTAAAAACCGGTACACATTTGACAATGACATTTCAGACTTCGCAAACTATTCGAATGCGATATTGGTTCGTGCTAAGGGTACTGTAAACTGTTAAATACTTGTATGTAGGTACTAAAATTAATGTTAATACGGGGCAATCAGAACAGCTTACAAGATTTAAATAATGTATATTTTTCCTATAATATATTGAGAGACCAATTTATTACCGATCAAGTTGCATCTGCTAAGACGTCCCGGTTAGTTTCGTAAAAGGTTTCAATGCGCGAAAAATAACTAAATAATTCGTATATTTAACTCTTGTACTAGGATTAATATTTATAACAAATACTATTTTTGTAGGCTAATATTAAAATAATTTCGCTTAGCAACAGTGATTTTAAATTAATCACATAAACTGACTACTGTAATCATTTTATTATGCATTCTTATCTCGAAGTATATCCGTCACATAATCCGGCGCCTAAACGGAATATCTGCTTGTTTTAAAAAAATGCTCTAAATAACCTACCTTCCTACCGAGAAAATAAAAACAAAACCAAATATTAATGATTCTTTAATTAGTTTTCCAATTCACCCTCCATTCCATTGAACGTTTTACTATTCCAAAACTTTAAATAAAACACTTTCTTAAAACAAGTACCAACCTTGGATCCGATTTGATTACCGCACTGGCCAGCTTGTACATGAACAATTCCACGCATTTTGAATAAAGAACACAAACCACAACACTAAGAAAAACCAATTAGATTTTTTTTCAAGACCACTCACTAATGCAATGGATTTGTGAGTAGTAACATTCACCTTATCGTTTTATCTTTTCTTACTAAACGTTGATAGTGATACGTAATGCAGAACATTTTACTGATAAACGATAGCAGCTCAATACGAGTCCATTACAAAAAGGCCTATCCTTTTTTATGTTTTTTTCTTGTAAACAGGTCTTATAAAGTGGCCAAGTTATAAGCAGAAACCTTAGGTGTGGCTTTAGGCAGCACCGTAAATCTTTATTCAATTAATACACAAACACTTTTTGGTTTCTTACGATTATTTGTCTGTCATATATATGGCGACAACTACAGACCTCTTCCAAGGCGAAACAGCGAAACTACTAAATTATTTCGCTCTGTGGAGAATGGTTCACTAGACCATAACCACAGCAAGCGTCCGTTGTCTCTATACTAAGTACTTACATCTAAAGAAGGTAGGGAAACCTATACTAGTGTTGGCCCCCCATAATGTATTTCTTGCATTTATAGTAAAATATAAAGAAATTTATAAATAAAACACAGAACAGCAATTCTTTTTATTATTCTTAGATGGCAATTCTTCAAACTTCAGTAGCTAATTGACCTCTATATGGCATTAAAACGATTAAAATTTTATTGTTGTTGTTTCGCATATATTATGCTACAAAAAGGCAGCCATTTTATTGAAGTCAATAAGAGATAGGTGTTTTTAATTATTTTATTTTCTATTTTAATGTTTAATTTTTTCGACATAATTACTATAATGTAATCACTTCATCATAGACGAAAATTGTATTTTAGCAGTTTTAACTAAAATTCAGCAAAACTTCAAAGTTTTGGTGTGCCATGCTTTAGATAATCTATGTATGGGAGTACAATCACTGAAACGTATTATATTTTTCTGTTTTTTTTATGTATTTATAAAAAATATGTTAGATTTATTTAACAGCATTGTGGAACTACATTCAATCGAAAACTATTAATTAAGTTACTACCGACAAAGAAATGTAGAATTTCGCTTAAGGGGCCCATCATTATATAAGCTACCCTAATTGTATTCAAACTATGTGTATGATCACGGTACCTAGTAGTTCCATACAGTATAGGTACACGCAATATGTTAATTATATTGAAAGTTGAATAATATAATCGCTAAAAGTCATTTTCCTCTGTTTATTATGTAATTTGGATTGATAAGTACGTGACAAGTTGATTAGGTTTCTGCTTTAATGCTTTTGGTGTGACTTAACGTCACCCTAACCAACAGTCGGTAATCTAAACTAATTTAATTAACTCTTACGTGATTGTCGAGTTTGTACAGAAAAGTACCTATTTCATAGCATTTTTTCTGGATATTTACAAACCTTTCGTTTGTGTTCTTGTACGTAACTTTAGCATGATGTGACCAGGTTTTAGAAATTCTGTAAAACAATAAGTATAAACGTTTAAAACACGAGACGCAAGAACAAGATGCATTTCTTTCGTTCCCCAACCAGCTATATCGAGTAAATAGCAAATTCGAATAGATATCCATGTCATGGTAATACCGTGTCCATGTGAAGTGTTAGTATAGGATACCTACGCTGTCTGTGGTTTTAAAAATGCAATAAAACTATTTTTTTTTCTGACACTGTTTTTTATCGTAAATAATAACTTGAAAAAATATTTTTTACATAATAATTAAACCACCAAAAAGTAAAAATAATAAACCTTTTTTATCTTTAGTCAAATTAAGATTTGAAGTGCCATTACTAGGTCAACCCAAGTAGTAAATCGGAACTCAGATCTATCAGTGTGGCACCAACTCCAAAGATTAATTTGTCTAAAGATAAAAAAATTAATGCGTGTACTTAAGTTTTTTTTTTTTTTGTTTCCTCCCAGGCGGGGGAGAGGGTGAGAAATCCTCATGGATACCCTACAGCCGGCTGTAAGGTTATGTCAGACTCTTACTGACTAAAAAACACCCTTTATTCATGCTTATGGCCAGAAGGGCCTTACAAGCTTCATCTGAAGCGATCACCCCCCGAGAGGGGGATGATGCGTACGCGCGTGAGTAGTTATACTTCTTTGGCATTGTACGGAGCAATGACCAGTGTTGCCAACTCGGATTTTGAAAAAGACGTAGGCCCGATGAGAAAATTACGTAGAATTGGTAAATTTTGTATATGAAAAGTAAGTAGATCTACGTACTTTTTTCTGAGTGAAATGAAGAAGTTATTTGAAACCGAATAAAACGAGTATTTTGTTATACAATTTGTTTAAGAACGGGAGATAGAACAAAGAGTTCTTGGAGAAGTCGCTGCATTGGAAATTTGGAAGCATTTACCATGATGTGGTAAACATTTACCATCAGACACAGACACTGGTGGGTGCCGATTCTGGATGGTTCTCTAAATTTAAAACTTAATTTAACATCAGTCTCTCCTTTTCATTCTGTATAGAGAATAACAAGGATAAACTGTTGTTAAATGGGCTAGTTGACACTTTTTGGAATTATGTTTTAAATTGTTAATAATATTGTTCTATCAGAACGAAAAAAAAATTTTTTTTACCAAGAAGACATATAAAAACGCTCTTTAGTCTATAGACTTATCTATGCTATGACGTCAAAACATTTGTAAACAAACACTCGCAAGCACGTAGGAAATAAACAGCTAAGTTAATATTATAAAACCATGATTTCTAATAGATCACATATAAAATTATAGTAGTTATCATGATACACTTGGTAAAAGACTCTAAAAGAAAGTTGTGGTTTAAATTGCCAAGAGAAAAAACATACTTACACATGAACATATGCTTAAAACTTGCTAAATCCTGTAACTTTATCGACTTTTTGCAAAGATCAATTCGATGTGAGTAGGTACTCATAGATAGTAGTAAAAGTTTAAAAATACAATTTTTAAGGTTATGAATGTACCTACTAAGTCAAAGAGTTTTGTCGTTTCTGCTTTCACAAATCCTGCGTCCAGCATTGATTTAGTCAACAAAACTAATAACGGGAACCTTTTCTACAAGATACAAGAGTGTTTAGATACATCTTTATAAGAAATAAACATTTGTATAGTTTTTAAGTAAAGTAACGGAAAATATTCTTCTTTATTCTAGTGAATTAAGTTATTTTACAAATTTGAAAAAAAATAAGAAAATACGTAGATTCTGGGACTGAAGTTAGTAGGTTTCCAGAAAAGGCCTAAAATACGTAGATCTACGTAAAAAGACGTAGAGTTGGCAACACTGGCAATGACCGTACATTCTGCGCGGTCAGCGGTTTACGCCCTCACCGACAATTTTATTATAATATAATTGTAAAATCAGCTCACAAACAGCAATCGACGTGAACTCATTGATCATTATATTTTAGCAATATTTTAACATAAGTTGACGTGTAACTTTATATATCAATAAACGATTAAATATCATTTTTATCTATCATTTAATGTACGGTATCCGTACAGGCATCATTAAAAAATTAATTTTTAATTGCATGTAAATAATTAATTACAATAAAATAATAAAAGGACTGGAAAAGGATGGTCAACACAGTCAATGAAGTTCAGTTTGAATTTGAAAAATTTAATATATTATCAAAATTTTAAATCACTAAAGTATATAATTTATTCATTTATATAACTAAAATACGTGTTGTGAATATAGAAACTAGAAACATGTGGATAAATATTGTAAAAATGAAAACAGTGATCAGAGGCGACGAGCATGCCAGCATGTGCGACTTATAGAGATTTTATTTCTATTTTGATGGTAGCTTTTTTTCGAGACTTAATGTTTGGTTTAGCGGCCAACTTCATGGTGTTACTTTTGTGTTACAGTGATGCGCGCGCATAAGAGGCTAATCGCTGCGAATAGATTTACTCGCCGCGAATGGCATTCGCTGCGAGTTGAATTGAACATGTTCAATTTTAAGTCGCAGCAAATAGCTACAGTATTGCCAGTGTTTAAAATTGAAACGTCTTTCAGGGTAAAAAGTTGCACTTAGAGCGTATGGGTGCGGCCAGAGTGCACTCAGATTCAGATTCTGAAAACCAGCGCGAGAAATAAACAGTGTAGTCTAAGCAGGTTGCCTGCTTTTTCTCGCACTTTGTTTTCTGAGTCTGAATCTGAATCTAAATCAGGAGTGCAATCTGGCCGTACCCTTCGACTACACTGTTTATTTCTCGCGCTTGTTTTCGAAATCTGAATCTGAATCTGAGTGCACTCTGGCCGCACCCTTGGTTTGGAACGCAGGCCTGTAATGTCGGCACTTCACTTGGCTATTCGTGTTTGCTATTTGTAAGCTTGTCATTAGTCAGTCTGTCCTTTTCATTCTTAATAAAGCATGATAAGAACAGACTTTTTTCAAATTTACAATTAGCCAAGTGTAGTGCCGGTATAATCTGTGATGGAGAAAAAACTGGTAAGCTACATTAACATAACTTAAGAATTGGCTGTATGGGCACAGTACCCTTTTCCTTCCCAGAATGGTTAAATTAAAAAAAATACAAAACATAACCTAAAATGTACCTTGCTAGAACATAAATATTTGTGTCTCAGTACTCAGATAAAATTAATTATATGTTAAAATTTTGTGAATTAAAATGCCAAAACTCCACATTGACGAGGTCTATACAAAGGCCTCTACATATCCTTTATTAGCAAACTTCCAGAATGGATACTTAAATGATGAATTTAAACCAAATTATTGTATGCTACTGCAAGACAAGCGGAATGGAGAGAAAACCGTAGCCACCGTGATAGAGAACCTTCTTTACTCAGGGCAAGAAGCTAAAGAGGATTTGGGCAAAACTTTAGTTTTGGCGCGAAACAAACTTACAGGCAAAGTGAGGATAGTGGAACACGGAAACGTTGAATTAAAACCGATCCTAAACATAAATAACATCAAGTCAAACACTGAATTGGACACGAGTTACTTGGAATTGAGCAGGAAATTCGGGTCGAAGAAACAGAAAAAGAATGTAGAGCAACGCGAGAAATTAAAGGTTAATGTCACAACTGTCAAAGAGCAAATGCACAATGTAACAGTCAACATTACTGAAGATCAATTAGACTTATCGTCGTACACCAAAACTGACACTGATGACTTCTATATTCCACCTATAAATAGAGATGCAGACAGGGCAGAAGATGTATATGATCTTTACAAGATATTAAGCAAAGAGCAATATGAGATAATACACTCTGAAATGAAAGAGAAAGATTATAACAATGAATTACTACCATGGATCAAAGACTTTGCTATGAAAAAACTATCAGATGAACTATCCGTCTTATTACTTTATGCTAGTTGTTCATTGAAGTTATATGCAACTTTAGGTAGAGATATTTTGAAAAAGAACTTTGTTATATGCACATCTTCATCTACACTCAACGATATAATACTAAAGAACTTCACCACATATGTCGGCGGCAGAAGGAATAGACCTATACAATATAAAGATAAGGCATTATGTCATGCGTTAGTGTTCTTATTGTTGGTTAATAACTTAAAGTGTGATGTTGAAGAGATAAGTAAAAATGTAAAGTTTAGTGTAAGAACTTTAATAGTTAAGTTTAAATTAATTGGAGCCACTATTGTTACATCTGGCAGCAAGAAAATAGCACATTTAAAGTTGCCTCTCGCTTCTGTCAACATTGGCCGTAGGAGGCAAAGTGCAAAATTTTAATAAATATTTTTATGGGAAATTCAATTTTCATTTTCCACTTCTAGTTGTTGTAAGTCTGCATGGAAAAATTGATTTGCCATGCTACAGTTTTACATCGTGGTTAAATCTTATGCCCTATACTGGGATTCAAACTTTAAAGCAAATTTCATCTAAACCACTTCATTAGTTTAAGTGGGAAGAGGTAACGTACAGACAGTAGGCAAATTTTCACATTTATAATATTAATAGTATTGATTGTGCAGATAACAGCTCATCAGGTTCTCACCATGTCAACCACAACTGATGGTGCTTTTATTATATAATAATATGTCAGCGGAAATCTATATAATTCTGGTATATAATACACCAGGGGGCCATTCGCCTAACGGAAATGCTTTGGAAAACGCTTACGATTTTATTTTGTTATTTCTAGCCGCCTGAGGTTTTCAAATGCCTCGTGCTTTTTTTTTCTTTTGCATTGGTAATAACAATATTTAAAAAAAAATGAGCGTGAGGTATTTGAAAACTTTCGGCGGTCAGAAATAACAAATTAAATCGAAAGCGTTAGCGTTTTCCAAAGCTTTTACATTAGGCGAATGGCCCCCTAGGCAATGAGTAGAATGCCTGGGGTGGGTAGGCAATGTATGAAATATAATTTTCCACTTAATAGTTTGCCTAGGTAATGTATACATTTCTTTTATTCCTAGGAATTGCATAGAGTAGCCGCTAACCCACCAGCAATAAATATATAATAAATATTTCCAACACTCACACCAATTAGCCCAGCCCCAAAGTAAGCACTGTAAGGCATTTGTTATGGGATATTAGGGTAATGGATAGACTACATATACTGTAGTGTACATATATAAGTATATTTATATAGAAATACATATTAAACATCCATGACTGGAGTATAAATTCTCGTATTCATCACACAAACATCTGCCCCTACAGGGATTCGAACCCGGGACCTCTCAAGTCATCGACACCGTGAAACCCGACGTACAAACCACTCGACCACGGAGGTCGTCAATGTATAAAATAAACAGATTTGACCTGTAGTTATCCTAACCAAGCTTACCCAGTGTGATGACGGGGTACCGTAAACAAAATTCTATTTAGTCCGTCAGTTAGATGATCAAAAAATAATGGACACGTATTTTTCTTTGGGCAATCAACCAAAAATGACGAAGTTATAGCGCGACAAAGTTTGGGAGTAGGGGCTCAAGACGTCACTTTAAAATTAAAAAAAATGGGTGCGTGTACTTATGTAGGCGCGTGAGAAGTTATCCTTCTTTGGCATCGTTTAAAATTAGTTTTTAATTGCATGCAAATAATTAATTACAATAAATTAATAAAAAGTCTGGAAAAGGACACAGTCAATAAAGTTCAGTTTTAATTTGAAAAAATAAATAAATAATCAAAATACAATACAATACAATACAAAATTCTTTATTGAAACACCACAGTACAGTACATAAATGGGTTAAATACATCATGTTTAAACAGTGATTCAATGGGCGGTCTTATCGCTAAAAGCGATTTCTTCCAGACAACCTTTGGATGGAGAGGATTGAATGAAATTGGAGTCGGTGGTGTTATAAAAGAAACAAAGGATATAAAAATGTATATAACTATATACATTAAATATATATACATACCATACATACACATAATATTACTATAAGATATATATATGTAATATAAATATATGACATATACATACATAGACTACACATATAAAAGTTTAATCCAGTCAGAAAAAAAAAAAAAAAAAAAAAAAGCAATTGCAGTTACGTCGACAAATAATGGTTGAAAACAAGTTTTTTGAAAGTATGAATAGATTGTGCTCGTCTTATGGATACTGGAAGAGAATTCCACAGGAGAACAGCTTGGACGGCAAAAGAACGACCATAGAAGGTTGTGTCATGAGTAGGAATTTTTAGGGTTAAATTCTCTGATGACCTAAGAGATAACGCGTTTGAGGTATGAAGGTAATTGAAGCATTCCTTGAGATAGCGCGGGGACAAAGGATTGAACAATATATTGTAGAGAAGTGTGAGGATATGAGTATTCCGGCGAAGTCGAATTGGTAGCCACTTGAGCTGTGATCGAAATTGCGACACATGATCATATTTGCGTAAGCAAAATATGAAACGAATACAGAAATTTTGAAGTCGCTCAAGCTTATTAAGCTGGTCTTCCGTGAGATCAAGATAGCAGGCGTCAGCGTAATCAAGAATAGGAAGCAGCAGAGACTGTGCTAGGGAAATTTTGGTGGCAGTAGGAAGGAAATTGCGAAGTCTCTTCAGCGAGGCTGCCGAAGCGAACAGTTTTTGGCTAACAGTTTGTAACTGTGGACCCCAACTCAAACAGTTATCGACAGTTAATCCTAAGTTTTTTACAGAAACACTGAATGGAATATTGGTGCCAGCAAGGGATATGGTAGGAAGTAACTGCCAGTTCACTCTGGCAATCAACCTTGAGCTACCAATGATAATGCACTGTGTTTTGGAGGGATTTACTTCTAGTCCGAAAGATTCGCTCCACTCTACAATGTGTCGCAGATCATTATTTGTTGCCAGTATTGCTTCGGATAATTGACCAAGAGAGGCTTGTCTATAAATTTGAAGATCATCTGCATACAGGTGGTAGGAAGAAGAAATATTATTGGAAATAGAATTAATAAATATAGCGAAGAGAAGAGGAGATAAAACGCCGCCTTGGGGAACACCAGCAGAAGTGTCGATCCACGAGGAAAAAACCTCATCGACGCGAACCCTCTGCCTGCGTCCCTGCAGATAACTGCGAAACCACTCAATTGCCGATGGAGATACGTTAAGAGAGCGCAGCAAAGCCAAAAGAATGTCAAAATTGACCGTATTAAAGGCATTGCTGAAATCTAGTAATGTCAATACTGTGAGATGACCCTGATCCATCCCAAGGCGTATGTCGTCTGTAATTTTCAGGAGGGTAGTCGTAGTACTATGCCCAGGACGGAAACCGGATTGAAGAGGATTAAAAAGATTATGACGAGACAGGAATGTATTGAATTGGTTAAGGACAAGACGTTCAAGGACTTTAGATAAGAAAGGAAGGATAGAAATAGGCCGAAAATCAGCAAGAAATTGAGGATTACATTTTTTGGGCAAAGGAACGATTTGGGCTTCTTTCCAAGCCGATGGAAAAACAGCATTTGTTATAGAGCTATTAAAAAGAAAGGTAAGGATAGGAAGGATCATATCTAAGATAGGTATCAGCATATTACGACTAATACTATCATTACCTACCGCATTGGAAGAAATGGACAGCATGCTCTTCTTAACGTCACATTCGGAAAATTGAGTAAAGACAAAAGGAGAGTAGTCTGGAACTGGTAAAGATGAAAGAACATTTATAGTGTTTCAGCAAATTACTGAAACTAGAAGATACAGAGAAATGAACATTAAGTGAATTGATATCGATGTTACTAGGAAAAGACGTTTGACGAGGTTTACCAATTCCAAGTGATCTAAGGAAGTTCCACACTTTAGCAGGATCATTATTGCTGACAGATGCATGAATATGGCGACGTAAAGCATCCCTACACACCATGTTACAGTGATTGCGAGCCTTTGCATAGTTGTTTTTATTAGAGTCTGTCGGACGAATTTTATATTTACTCTTGGCCACATTCTTCTTGTGCATCAATACTTTTATCTCTGGTGTAAGCCAAGGTGCTGGATGGTGCTTAAGCTTAATAGGACGAAGCGGTGCATGTTTATCATAAAGCTTGGTTATAATATTGTTGAAAGTATGCACTTGTTCGTCCAATGTAGCCGCGCTAGTCACTAATGACCAGTCGACATCATGCAGGTCTTTGAGTAACGCCTCCTGATCCATACTAACAAAATATTCAATTAAAATCGCTACTGAATATAATTTATTAGAAAAACTCAAACACGTATTCCGAATATACAAACTAGAAACATGTGGATAAATATTATAAATATGAATACCTATAACTGTTACTTTATTACAAAAAATAAAGATGTGGTTTTTGGTTCTACTACACCAATGGTCAAGAGATGGCGCTGTAGTCTCCTGAATCGCGCTTTGGTTCCGTTGTTCCAGATTAATAAATACTTTTGATAGGCCTTCACAATGCAGTCGTCAGCACCCACTAAATAGAGATTCTATTTCTATTATGTTGGTAGATTTTCATAATGTGCGGTAAACGCAAAAGTAACAGCATGAAGTTGGTCGCTAAAGCGACCAACTTCATGCCGTTAAAATTTTGTGTTACAGTGATGCGCGCGCATCTTAAAATTTCACTCTCATCATGTTTTCATAACGCGCCTAAAGAAGTATAACTTCAAAAATAAAGATGTGGTTTTTGGTTCTACTACACCAATGGTCAAGAGATGGCGCTGTAGTCTCCTCAATCGCGCTTTGGTTCCGTTGTTCCAGATTAATAAATACTTTTGATATTATAAATATGAATACCTATAACTGTTACTTTATTACAAAAAATAAAGATGTGGTTTTTGGTTCTACTACACCAATGGTCAAGAGATGGCGCTGTAGTCTCCTGAATCGCGCTTTGGTTCCGTTGTTCCAGATTAATAAATGCTTTTGATAGGCCTTCACAATGCAGTCGTTAGCACTAAATAGAGATTCTATTTCTATTTTGTTGGTAGATTTTCTTAATGTGCGGTAAACACAAAAGTAACGCATGAAGTTGGTCGCTAAAGCGACCAACTTCATGCTGTTAAAATTTTATGTTACAGTGATGCGCGCGCATCTTAAAATTTCACTCTCATCATTTTTTCATAACGCGCCTAAAGAAGTATAACTTCAAAAAAATAAAAATTTAACCAAAACGTAACGTCATGCGACTTTTCAAATCAATATATCTCTGCAATGTTTATATTATGTGAAAAAAAGAAAAAATACGTGTCCAATACTTTTTCATAATCTACCTGATAAACGAAGAAAAAAAAATAGTCATCCCTATTATCACCGATTGCACTGAGCAAGTAATCTATATTTTATTTTA